CCTAATGTTGACCCTAATGTTGACCCTAATGTTGACACATTCCCGCTCCATCTTCTCCGGCGCTAACATAGTAATGACGCCCAAGGACCCTCCTTTTCGCGCCCTTTTCCCCCTTCATCGTCATATTCTGTCACGTAATCGAAACTCAAGATCAGGGTTACCTAACTCACTTACATGCATTCGTCGAATCCATCAAATCTGCACCAACTGTCTTAGATGCTGCCGCTAGAATGTACCATCTTTTCTTAGTTCTTTACAACGTAGCGTTGCGCTACGTAGAGTTCCGTAAATCCCATCAGCCAGGCCAGACGCCAGCGTATGGCGAGATGGATGAATACCTCGCCGCATTGGGACTATCGGTACCGCTTTCAGTTGGAATCCATCAACAGGCGATAGAGTGTCTGGATACAGACACTGGACATGATTTTATCGGACATGAATACAAGCAGACGGAGGAGCCAACGATGTCGATTGGAAATGAGGCAAATTTGGATGGCTGGTTCTCCAGTAACCGGGCTATCATGGGGTTGCTGCAGGAGTAGGATTTTAATATTTCGCCTGGGGGTTGGATAGGCTAAGGATATATGTCGGTGCTTGTTCACGTGATTTGGATCCCATGTTTTTGTTGGGGGGTGGGGTTGGGAAGAGAACACTGTCACGCCACAGGCTTTGAGGATACTAAGCTATAGCTAATAAATGGTAGTAGCCGAGACTAGACTATTCAGTGTGCTCCAGGCATGACGTCCAGCAAGTATCTACTGAGCTCCCATAGGCACTGACCAAGCTTGCGCGTGTCAAACATCCAACATTGAGAAGAAGCTGGTCCAGTTCGGTCATCTCAGAACGGAAATCCCATAAGTTAGCCATGCTCCACCACAATGCAGTGCTTGCCTTAGCACCGATAGCATCGAGCTCCCAGTCAGCTCCAAACCCGTCTTGACGGCTGCTGCATAGTTGTTCGATTCCAGCAACTTGCAGATTGGCCAAACCTTGGCTCACACCTCACGGCCCTTCTTGAGGTCGCCCTTAATTGCGACGGTCTCCCATAACTCCACTGCCAACTCGGGGATAAGGTTCGCAGCGCCCCAGATTCCGCCTCGCGCACCCGCAGCCAGCCCATAGAAGGTCAGGGTATCTCAGCCGTTAAAGACGGTGATTTTATCAGAGAGACCAAATAGCAGCTCTGTCAATGCCGGTCCGTCGCCAGATGTGTCTTTCAAGTAGCGAACGCCCACTGTGGAGAGGCTAGCCAGCTCCGTTGGGCTCAGCTTCAGGCCTGTTGCAGACGGGATATTGTAGAATACGATGGGAATGTGGGTGACTTGGTCGATTTCGGTGATCAGGCTCCTCAGCTTCTTCATGTTAACTGCTTCATAGCCGTAAGCTGCGGTGCTCCAGGGACCTTCCCTCCTGCACGCGATGTCAACGCCTGGGTCAGTGCCCCCTTGCCTTGTGTCCGAGGGGTTTAGACTAACGATGTGATAGGTGTGGCCTGTTACTATGACTATACAAAGAATAAACCTGGCAAGTAACTCACGGAGCTCGTGGTCAAGTATACAAACAGCCGAGTGCCCGTGATTGCTGGCACAGGAGGCCTGACGACAGCCGAGACCCTCGAGCTCTCCATCCACGCGGCACAAACTGGCGCCTCAGCGATCATGGTTGTTCCGCCGTTCGTTCAGCAAGAGTCAGCGACGTGAATTCCCCCGTACTCCCACCGGGGACAAGGCCATGGACACCGGCTTGAATTTGTCGTTCGACGAGCATTTGAAGACGGCCTTCGTGGATGGCACTCTGGTCATCGGTGAAAGGAGTGATCAATGCCACCATGATTCCCTGAAGGTCTGCCATTACGCAGATGTTGTGGATTCTAGGTATGGGGTGTATGGTTTCTTATCAGGATGGGCGATGGAAAGGATTCGAAGTGTGGACAAGATCTGAAGAGACGACAATTCAGGGAGTGGGAGCAACGCTTTTTTAATCGGTGTGTCCAAGGTCACTACAGCCCAGCTTGCGCTCTTTTAAATTGCTCTCGAATCGCTTGACGCATATAATTGGTGGAGGAGTTCCCCAAGGCCCATCCGTAAAAATGGCAAGCGGTTCCGTAGGGCTTCCAAATCCCGCAGTTGTTCTCCAATCGTCCCCCACATTTGCTTTTTTGGGAAATCTGGGGTAAGACTGGGGTAGGCTCCAAAGGTTCTGTTCGTGTCCTCTTTCCCTGGATGAATTGAGCGAATACAATTTTGGTTTCCCAAACCATTACGCGTGTCACCGGGCGTTAATCTGGTTCTCATAGGATAGAGCAAGAGTATCCGACGCGCCGCCGCCAAGCACACTTTATCTTGATCAGATAGCAAGCAGTTCCTACGATCGAATGTCATTCTGGCCCTCGCTATAGGAGGAGAGTATATTCGGGATTTCTAACCCAAAAGCCCTCAATGAAAGATATGATCACAGGAATTTGGTAAGAGGTCTTGCCGTAATAATCTTCGCACGCTCTATCTGCATTCGCACTGTCGTCAATGTCGTCAATTGCCTCGTAGGTTTAAGCTCGCGCACCATGTTGAGCATATGTAGACAAGACGCTTCACACTACTTTTTACTTATTATATTGGGGTTCAAAAATGTATTTCTCGTGGTGAAATCACGTCGTTCTCGATTACGCAATCAGGAAGCTCAGAAGGGAAGCCCTGCCGTGACGCCATTACTTTACCTCATTCTTGTGGATATTTATATTGAGAAGAGTAAGACATCAGAAGGCCTCATCACATATTTGCGTCTTAGTTCTAGTTGTCTGAGGGCTACTATTTTCCTCGCATCGCTCGTAGTTTCTCTTAGCCATAATACCCCCATCCGATGACAGTACAACATCTTTATCGCAGTTCATGAAGTGAAGAATCCCCACTCCAAATCCAAAATAGCCCACATGCTCGTTTGATTACGCCCATTGAGCTGAGAGACTTGCACTATCAAGGTATATTTCTTGGACGAACAATTATTGAATTAGGCAGGAATATGTCTACAACCCAGAGATAGACATATTCGGTACATAACAACACGAATTAATTATCATTGTTGGCACAGGACCAGGCGGATGATTCCCCCGACCTCTGGTAAGAAGTAACGATGCTCACTATAGAGCTATATGTTCCCCCAATTGTCAAAAAGAAGCCAGTCAGAATGACAAAGACACACCAGGCAACACCCACGCACCATCTCGCAGACTTGTCTCGCTTGCCGGGTCCCCAGTTATCATACAGCCACATACATCCCATAGGCTGAAAGCACAAAGGCGTTGCTAAGAGAGCCCCAACCAGTGATACGAGATCACTAAAAACAGGGATGCTGCTTGCGACAATGTACGCGACAGAGATCACACTGAATGTGGACCCTAGCCAGACGACCCAGTGTGTCCGAGTCGGTGTAGTAAGGTGTTTGGTGCCCCGAAGAATTCGAATGAAAATGTGTTTTGCAGGTAACTTCCTCCAAAGTCAGCCTCGCGAAACGGCCCAATTGGTCAATCACAGAGCAGTGGGTGAAAACTCACATGAAGTAGTAGAATTGCGGAAACACTCAGTCCGGGGAGAGCAAAACCATAACTGATCTTTTTAATCAATATTCCTGCCGAGCCAAGAGCAGGCGAGGCAACATGCGATCCGCAGTAATAGTAGACAACCGTTCCGACCACGATGTAAATGACCGTAACAAGGATTTGGCAAATTGCTAGGCATCGAGTATAAAGCTGTGGATTACGCATTTCAGAAACAATGTTAAAGAAGGCCGGGGTTCCAGCGTATGTCAAACATATCGTGGATACAGCGGTCATGGCTTCGACAAAGGTTGGGTCACCAAATAACTTGAAATCTGGTTCTGGGATGACACCTGAACTCATAGGTGCATGGCCCTGGACTCCAACAGCGATAGTGACAATGAAGACTAGGGACCATTTAGACGAACATCCGGACGGAACCTCTAGGAAACTTACCCGCAGTGATAATACATGCCGCGCCTAACCAGGCGAGCCAGCTTATACGAGCAAGGGTTTGGATGCTAGAGAATATGAAGGCAATGATGGCAGCAACGGCCACGAAGATGGCAGTGCAGGCGGCGTGGCCAGAGAGCGCGTTAAATGAGATCGAGATGCTCAGCAAAGCAGAACCACCAGCGAATATCCAGTCTTACAACCGGTTAGAACCCCAGTCAGTTTCTACAGGACCAGTAGCACTCACACAAGGTATACGCCGCACCAAATAGCTCGAATCCAGCTCGCCCGAAAAGCATTTTTCCCACGTCGTCAATTCCATAAACACTAGGATGGCGTAGCTTGAAGACACCCACCATCCAGTTCGACCAACTCGTCATCCCGGCAATTGTAAGAAGAACAACAATCCCGGGCACTATTCCGAGGATGTCGAAAACCTTCGGCATCGAAAGAACACCTAGGCCTATTTGGGTTTTGATCAAGAGAGCTGTTGTCCCCATCCAGCTCACCTAGGCCATGTCAGCTCATTCTAATTGTGTGGAGCGTCAGACGAAAACTCACATCGCGATAGTTTGTATCTCCTTCACAAATCTCACCAAAGACAGCATCATCTTGAATTGGTTTGCTAACAAAGCCTTCGCCGACCTGAGATTGTGTATGTGTGATACTTTCCGGGTCAGGATCAGAAGCGATCTGTTTCTTCATGGTAGGCAATTGCGGTTGTGAGGAAATTAAGACAACAAGATCTGCACGATTGCTGATGCAACATCTGCAAGGATTAGATCGATTCTTTAGACCCGAAGAATCCCCATATACTGCCAGCCTGGATGTGGAGTCAACATGAGCATGCGGGGAAGCACACCTAGAAGGCAACTTCTTCCGCTAGCATATTCTTATCGTCGCCACGAAGGGGGAGCTTTGCGCTTATCGCATATACCTCGGGTGACCCAGATGCCGGTACAAAGGGTGGAAAGATAGCAAAAACACAGCCATCGTGATCCCTAGGCCTATCCAGAAACCTCATGGGCAAGCGATTCCGTGTGCCACGCCGGCTTTCACTGGCTGGCACTCGTAGTAGTCATTTTGACGTTGCATTGTGGCATATTTGGCTCTGTCCACCTTACGACAAGCCAAAGGCCCCTTCGCTGATAGTACGCCCTTGGGCATCGATCGATATGTACGCCACAGGCGACTCTGCATCTCGCGCCTAATTCAATGACTTCAATGCGACAGGGCCTTGAACACTTAATTCCTAGACGACAAGTCGAATCCGTTTATGTACATAGTTATGTGATACAGCCAATACTGGACAGAATAGCCGTTTATTCTCCATACATCCCGGCATTGCAGCCTTGCATAGACAAAAGCACCTTAGAGGTGGCTCCTTGGAAGCCTATTTTTCTCCACAACCGAATCAACCAGCTTCCGAACCTTTAAAGCCACGCCATAACTGAAAATATAGCCAAGGCCGGCAAACCCATAGGCGTGCACTATGTCACCCTCGGCTTCCAGTCGATATCCTCCCTTTCTTCCCGGTCGAAAGGCGACAATGTCCTTCTGTACATCGTTTTCCAGATCGACCGAGCGAAGGCCCCCATCGGTAAGCATATTGACGCGCTTGAGGATGTCTGCGCGTAGTGCCTCGTCTACATTGCGATCCAAACTACCGGGCTGGCTGATGCCGCCGATAATTGCACCGTTGGTGAACATGCGCGGAATGACATAGGTGTAGTGGGAACCTTGATGCATCTTCAACTCGTTAAAGTCCGTCTTGATAAACATTGTTTGTCCACGAATGGCCTCTACATTCTTATCATCCGCAAGCGTGTACGCTCCTAAGCCCGATGCGTGTACAATATATTCTGTTCCGGTGATCCTTTTGGCCTCTTGGATGGATGTCAGTGTCTTCCGAAGAAATGTGACTCCACGTGCTTTTAACTGCGTTTGGATCCAAGGGAGAAGGAATGCTGGATTGATTGTCATCGAAGTATATGTGAACCCAAGTTTCACACCCTTGGGCAGTTTGTCCTTTGGAATCAGACGATAGTGCGGGACGACCGTCTTGTACCAGATGGTTGAATCGTCCTACCGATCATCGTAGTGTTCGGTTGCCTTGATGACCTGGACATACCATAAGTCACATAGTTAACAGGACTACCAGCATGTCTGCAGTGTTGGAGACTTACCTGAACACCACTCGTAGGATCTCTATGCGCTAAAGCCCAGAAGTATTTGAAATTCTCCGTCTGGAGGGAGTTGCCACCAGCGTCTGGATGAGGGAATATTGATACGCCAGCCCTCCACTCCCAGTAAGTACGGTGTGCAATCAAATGGAAAACCCAGAAAAACTCACCAAGGGCTTGCCCAGTCTTGAGATTCATCGCCCGGTAGATCCCGCGCCACGATAGTCACTTTATAGCCGGCATCGGTGAGCGTCAACGCCGACAAAAGGCCGATGATACCTGAGCCAATGATGCCAATATGTGTGTGTGTTGGAGACATGCTGGAGGCGATGGTATTTTGGTCGTTCCTGTAAGAGGTGATGTACTGCACTTACAAGGTATTTAGATGGCGAGCAGTTGATGTCACGATGGGCCGCACAGTGTAATGGGGACGGAACTACCTGCCTTGCCTTATTCGGAGTTTCCTCTGCGTAAGATCTGCAGCCCATGCATCAGAACAAGATCAAGGTCACTTTAGGGCAGGGCCAAAGCGTCTCGCTCTTCTGTTGACCACTCGTACAGAGAGCAGCATTAGGGCCAATTGGTGTGTCTCTCCACTAAACTCGAAGTGGTTAGATATCTCCAATCTCCACCAATCAACAGCTATCATGGTGCATGAGTTCGGGCAAGCGTTTCCGGATCCATGATAAGATAGAGACCCCGAGCGGAAACACAAGTCGTCGAAGGAATCCAGCAAGCCCATCCGTGACTGTCCTTGGATAAGTATTGCTACTGTAAGCGACTTGGGATCGATCAGCGAGCGATCAGTCCCTATCTATCCGATTCAGGCCAGCTTCACCAATCATCCCATCGACCAGACCACAATGCGATCGCTGCGCAACATATCCCTGGTCTGTTCTCATTGCGAGGGGGAGGCGGGCGATGTGATCCTCGGCGGTGTACTTGACAAACCAGCAAGGACCATGCATGAAAAGCTAGTCCGCTTCACGAAAGAACAGGATGATTTACGCCGGCTGCTACTGCACGAGCCACGGGGTCGCCCAGAAATGAGTGTTGTCCTTGTGCTGCCGCCCTGCAACCCTCAGGCGGATGCGGGCTTTCTGATCATGGCCCCCGGGGACTGGGTACCGATGTCTGGGTCGAACACCATATGCACCGTCACAGTCCTGCTCGAAACAGGAGCCATCTCAATGAATGAGCCCTTTACCGAGGTGAAGCTGGATACTGCGGCCGGATTAATCACGGCAACCGCCGAGTGCAGCAATGGGAGATGCAAGTCAGTGTCCTTCGACAACGTCCCGGCCTTCGTGTATGGACTTGACCAAGCGGTCAACATTCCTGGCTTTGGAACCATCCTGGTGGACATCGCATATGGTGGCCAGTGGTATGTGATTGCCCAGGCCAAAGACTTGGATACCGAGATCCACATGTCGAATAGAGACCGACTGGTCGACCTTGGCAACCGACTGAAGGCGGCAGTGCTAGCGCAATATATGCCTACACACCCGGAGAATCCAGCGATCTGTGGCATTAATAATATCATCATCAGTGAGCCTCTTATCGACCAGGATGGGGTGAAGTCAGTGAAACATACGGTCATCGTCACGCCCGGAAGGTTGGATCGGAGCCCATGTGGTACCGGAAGTTCGTCACGCCTGGCAGTTTTATACGCCAGAGGCCAAATACGGATCGGGGAAAAGGTCACCTTCCGAAGTGTCATCGACACTGAGTTCATTGGCAGTATACGGGGGACACAGAAAGTGGGCAACACTGATGCAGTACTGCCAAATATTCAAGGAAGAGCCTGGATAACAGGAGAGCGGAAGGTTCTACTAGATCCCGATGATCCTTTTCAGGCTGGTTTCTTGATCTGAGTTCGTAAAACACTCATCTACAGGGAACCGGCCAGACTTCTAGAAACAAAGCAATTCAGAATATCATTCCAACATAGTTCCTTGATAATGAATAGTTCGATCAATTTGTGTCGGGAAATTGCAGGTTTCCCTGTTGCCCCACCCTACTAACAAAAAGATACAACAGATCAGCGAAATCCCCTTCTTAATAGGCGATGTCAGCAGAACAGTGAGCTGCATGTCTAGATTGGTTTTTTAACTCCACGAAAAACCCCCGAGTTTGCAAATGTACCATCATGAGGCAAAAGTACATCGTGATTCTTGCCTGTATGTCCAACTTATTTCATACCTAGGATTGAATTAGATCTTTCGATTATTTCTTCTTTTTATGTTGACAACCGTCTTAATACTGAGGCCCATCCAACACAAAAGGGGATTTGAGTAAGTCTTTCGCCGACAGTCGCCTCTGAGGGCTTTTTTGTAGCATAAGCAACAGGAACGATGCCAGGCTTTCCACAATGTCAACTTTAAAATTAGGTAGCCTAGCTCCTAGATATTTGGTGAAGTTCTCACCGCTCTGGCCGTTAGAGGAGAGCCTTTGGTCAATGAGAGCATTGTGGTCGTATCTATTTCCTGCCGTGCAAGGCCAAACACCCCTAAAGGAAATAGTGGCTCATTCGTGGCCAATTCGAATAACTTAAGGTAAGGAATAAAGACCGAATTGGGGCTCTGAAGGAGAGAGATTCAGCATACAGAGCAGCCCAAGCACCAGATATCTATGCCGGCATCCCAGATATCTTGTTGGACTAGTTCAGGTGCACGTAGGCCTAGCGGTGTGACGGGTTTTTCATCGCAGTCTCCAATCCACTGAGCTGGGGGTATATGTGAGCCGCTAAGAATGCTAGCTAGACGAGATTGTATATTGATCGGGGTAGCCTACCTCCACCCAAGTCCCCAATGCTGACCACCAGTGTTGCCCAATTTGCATTGTCCAACAGGCCACGGCGCCTTTGCGTCGGCATTAAATATTTGGGGGGGCTGTCATCCTTTATCGTTCCTTCCAACCACTTCACAGGGCTGAACTCGGGAGGCTGCAAAAAGTCTTGGATATTTGTAGTTCCGGTAACTGAAAACATCATATTCGCCGGTTGCAAATCTGCATTAAGCCATTAGTCCGCCGCCTCCACTACAGTGGGTCCTACCATACCGCAATGGACGATGCCTGACTGGTGAAGGAAGTCGAGACCCAGCAGAAGCTGACGGGAAATCGCCCGTACGTAGCCTACATCGTGCGGAGACCCACTGGTCGTCATCGCCGTCCCGTCTGATATCATCACCGGGAGAACAAGACACGGTGAGTCCCGTTTGGGCCGGTATGTTGAAAGTGGTCGTACAATTCAAGTACATGTCTCTTTCCAGGGTGGTCGATATCGGGCACTGACATCTGAAGAAGCATAGAGAGTTCTGATTGTTTTTAGATGCATCAGCTTTTAATATTTTCAACGCAACCTGTTGCTGGTCTCTTTAAAATGATAGCGGTTAATTATCCTTGTGCTGAAACAATTTAACGGCGAAAAGGAAAAGGAGCTTGCCTCTGATGATCCTTTGCAAATCATACGGTGGAGTGCTGGCCGAATGCCAGCTTCCCAATCACCTCGTACCTTTGGTGGAAACGGTCATGAAGTTGCACCGGATGGTAACCTCCATGCCGATACTCTTCGACGGCTCAAGCACGTCTTATATTCTTTCGAAGCGGCGCATGTTTGAATAGAAGAGGGAAATTCAAGTTGAAGGATACAAGGTGGTTATTGTGGCCAAATCGTACAATAATATGATAGGAGGACGAGAGTTCACAGGCGACGTGGTGAACTGGGTCGAATAAAAGCGCCTCCTGCAGTCATGTGACACCTTCTCGATCCCAGCCCTCATCTCCAGCCGAGTATCATACATCGTAGGAGGTTAGAACTCAACAAGAAGGACCATGGTGGTAAATGTTTCCCAGTCGTGACTTGCTATGAAAGACGAAAAGTCTGAATGAACAGCCAGGCTGGAGAAGGGGAAATTACGAGTTCATGGGTCTGGCGGTAGGCGCTTTGGCGCCGTGGATCAGTAATCGACAGGCGGTGGTGGACTTGAACATGATCCTTCTGTATCAGTAAGCGAACGCCATGGATACAATATGCGCTCTCTGCAGGCGATCCTGGAAGCGGCTTGCATGTACTGTAGACACACGTACACGGAGCAGATCTTCCCCCACAGCGAGAGACAATAAAATACCACGCCGTGCATGGGTCTCAACCAGCCAATAATTTAAAGCCTCCACCAAACAACGGTTTTAAAGCAAGACAGTAGATCCTTCCACCGAACTGTGGGCCACCCAGCATAGGATGAGGCGGTGTTTGGGTTGTCGAGGCCCAGTGGCCGGGGTCTAACACCCCGTGTCTTGGATGTGAGATAACCGCGGTTATAGATAAGGATATGACCAGCATAGCCTCCGCTATATCCAGCTGCCTAATTATGGGATATGACTGAAATGGCAACATCGCGCTATAATAACATGTAGCCCCACTGCAGACGACGTAATTTGGATGATCTTAAGAGCATCCTGCCTATAAAGCGACCATTGTCGACACCGCACAGAGTCAGTATCAATTTGCCTTTCCCTCACGTATCATATCCTCTTGTGGAAAAGTCCATTTAGCCATATAGCTCTCTCAAAGCAACATGACAGCCACTCCGGCAAGACATGAAACCTACGACGTCGTGGTGGTAGGGGCTGGCCTTAGTGGTCTGCAAGCAGCACAGATTGTGCAGGCTGCAGGTTTCAAAGTGTGTGTCGTGGAAGCCATCGACCGAGTGGGTGGGAAGACATTGACAGCCAAGTCCTGCGAGAAGGGATTTAATGATCTAGGTGCATCCTGGATCAATGACACCAACCAGAGTGAGATGTTCAAGCTCTACCAACGGTACGGTATCGACACTGAGGTCCAACGCGACCGTGGACACACTCTCATTCAATCAGCGGAGGGATCGGTGGTCAAAGTGCCATACGGAGAACTTCCAGTGCGTTCTTTGTATTCATCCTTTCTTACGTTTCTGTTCTGTTTCTTGTTTATTTTTGTTTTCCTATTCCATCATTGTGCCAACCTAACTGAAAGTATCCCAGGGCGATCCCAATGCATTGCTGGACCTCCTTCAGGTGTTTCGAGATGAGTGCTCACTGATAGACCTGGATGACCCGACAAGCTCTGCCCGAGCCAGAGAAATCGATCAACTCACATTCCGTGACTTTTGTATCGGAAAGATACAGTCGGAGAGTGCCGTCACCATCGCCGATGTGCTCTCAGTCTCGTTACTTGGGGTAGAGAGCTATGAAGTCAGTGCTCTTTTCATGCTTCTGTACTTTAAGAGCGGTGCTGGCATCGACAATATTATATCGGACCAGAAGAATGGCGGCCAGTACCTGCGCAATCGACAAGGTAATCCATACCTGGTTATCACCTTCAAGAGCGGACTTGTCTAATATCACCAGGAAACCAAACCATCGCTCGGAAGATGGCAGAAGAACTAGGACCCGGTGTCGTGCTTCTCCGGCAGCCTGTTACATCCATTGATCAATCTCGACGCGGACACTGTGTGGTACAGACGCAAGGAGGGGCCACCTTCGAGTGCCAACGCGTAATTGTGTCAGTCCCGAGCAGTCTGTATCATAAAATCGAATTCAACCCTCCCCTGCCAGAGAAAAAGCTCGCTCTGAGCGAGAACACCACTACGGGCTATTATACGAAGGTGGTCTATGTTTTCAAGGAGCCTTGGTGGCAGAAGGCTGGGTTCTCGGGCGTCCTCGATTCTGAAAAGGGGCCCATCATCTTTTCTCGGGATACGAGCGTCCCTGTGGATGACCAGTGGGCCATCACCTGCTTTATGGCCGGTGATAAAGGAAGGCAGTGGTCGAAGATGCCCCGGGCATCCCGTCACCAACAGGCTTGGGGGCAATTCAGTCGGGCATTTGGTCAGTACGTCGAGGTTCCTCAGCCCGTTAATGTCCTGGAGATGGAATGGACCAAAGAAGCCTATTTCCTTGGTGCCCCCTGCCCGATCACCACGCCAGGCACCCTGTCAATCGTGGGCAAGGACATTACTGCCCCTTTTGGTCATGTGCATTTTGTGGGCACCGAGACCTCGCGTGTATGGCGTGGCTATATGGAAGGTGCGATCCAGTCGGGTCAGCGAGGAGGCGCTGAAGTGGTCAAGGCCTTGTCGACGGACCCTACTTCTCGTCTGTGACAACCTCACATGGCTTCGGAAAGCCTCCTGGCAGTAGATGATGTCATCTACATGAATGTTCCCGCCGTGTACTATCTTAGTGTCTTTAATCAATAGTCTCCACTCTCATTGTTTCGTGCCTCTCCGGGCCCTGGACTCCTATATCAGGATATTATCAAAGAAAGACAACCTTAACCTAGATTTGTAGTCCTAGACTAAGCTTCGCAATTTAAGGCGATCTCTTATCTGTAGCCGCCGATATCTCTACCCGCGTCAAGCCATCATGGACGTCTTCCGGCGGGCATTTGACGCAGCGCCACGCTCCACGGCGTAATTCTTTCCTGCTTTGTCCAGCCGTTTCGGCCTCTATCCTATATTAATACCTTCGTCAGTGCCTCCTAAATCTGGCTGCGACATGTCAGAACATTCACAGCAATTTGGCATGAATTCGAAACCCTCCCGCAGAAAGAGGAGTAGACAGGCATGTCTCCTTTGCCATGATCGGAAAATCCGATGCGACGCGACAGGAGGCATACCATGTACGAATTGCAGATGGTTCAAGCGCGATTGCATCATTCCAAAATACAGATACGAAAAACGAGGGCGCGACGGAGTTGCCAAACCCCGGAAATCCAAGCCTCAATGGTCAGGGGAAGAGGATCAGGCCAGGGATATCAACGATTCCCCAGACTACAACCAAGCTGGGATGTCCGCTCCGGCAGGTATGTGGAGCCGGGAAGAGCTGGACTTGTCCGGTCGTGCCGTTTCTCCAGAGCCTCGCGAATATTATAATATGTGTGTGGATGTTGAGGTTCAAAACGTGACGTTGCCGCAAGATAGCAGGTACTTCTCAGACACCGCAATTGCGGTCCTGGAATCAGCAATTACTGCTGAGACGAGCCACGGAACAGGCCTCTCAGCCAATGGGTCAATGTCGCAGCAGGCGTCCTGTATACCGAGTGATGCGACGATTCCAGCATGGTCGACACCGCGGAATCCGGGATTGGACCATGCAGCCGCATGCGGCACGACGACGTCTTTTCTCTCCTCTGTTAACCTGATGCCCGAGGAACGAGCGCTTCTAGTGCAGTTATCTAGTGCTTCCGGATATCTTGATCCACTGGCGAACCAGGCATATTTTGATACGACCGAGGACGGCGATTACTACGGAGGACCATCTGGACATTGGAGCTCGCGATCTTGGTTGTCTTGATGGAAGTGATCGGTGATGTGTTGTGTTGTCACCTTTTCCAAATCTTTCGCGTCGTCATATATATATTACCAGGATGTCACCCCTTCTATCATTGGCTGCAACGGTTAGTATAGTTTGAATTAATTGATTAAATATGATTGGCAACACTTGAAGTCGTTCCTCAGTCTACACGTTAATCTTTTACCCACGCGGTAATCCGCTCCATCATATTGCAGCAGTTGCTATACCGTTGAAGCGAGACTTGGACGCGTGGAGAAAACAATTAGAACGACGCCATCACGTGACCACGCACGGGATGGAACGTGACCCCAGTCATGTGATCGGGGGACTCTCCACCGTTTCCAGTCTCCCTCACGTCGATCCCCAGCGGAACGCCCACACTGTCCCGAGTTAGGATCTTCGGAGTTGGCGGATGAGGAACCTGGCGCGATGAAAGGCTAAATCCTTATCTGTAGCCGCGGCTATCAGTCGATCCACGCAAGTCTCCAGCATGGGTCCCCGCAATCGCCACATTTGCTACAACTTATGTCCGGGGAAGTTGAATGCACCTTCGTAGCACTCCTCCACTCTATCCACCCACTTGGAAATCGTCCTCAGTGCAACTGCGATTGTGAAAATGAACCGAAGAATTCCGCGCACCCGGACCGGTTGCCTCTGCTGCCGTCAACGGAAAAAGAAATGCGATGAGACGAAACCGCAATGTCGCGCGTGCACACGCAACAAGTTAAAATGCGCGTGGCCTCCCCATATAGTCCGGATATTTGGTCTCGATTCTGGGCCACAGATGCTGGATGATGCTCTTCCTCGCGAACGTGATCTAACCAGGGGTTTCGGTCACCCGGAGACCGAAAATGCACCCGCATCCACGTCTTCGTCTGCTCGGCCCGCCAGCATGGATTCCAATTCGTCCTCGGACATCGCCGATCGCTCTCCAGATGAGAGGGAAAACCACATTGCGTCATGGTGTTCGGAGCTAAAAACGTTCTTGAGTCCGAGACGAGCGATGTTACTACCGGAATCACAAGTCCTACTGTCACACTATCTGGACGTGACGGGTCCCAAGCTGGCCCCGGCACCTGATACACCTTTCGTTTCTTGGCTGCTACCGGTCGCCTATAGTGATGATCTGCTAATGAACGGCATTCTCGCTCTAAGTGGGGGCCATCTCCTGTATAAACTACCGGACAACCATGCAATCCAACAGGCAACCTCCCGACATTATTCCTTAGCGGTGCAGAGTCTTCATCGGGTGTTGAATGATGAGTCGACACTGCTCGAACCTCTTGTACTCATTCGAGTAGTATTGGCGATTGTAATCCTTTTTCACTATGAGGTGAGCTATCCCCCTGGGGACACAACTTCGAATCAATCTTTCGTCTATCTGACTTGGTCGGAATCATGAAGGTGGTCTCTGGACACCTGGACGGATCCCCTTTTACCCACCTGCGCGCCGGTCGTCATTTGATCCTACGCCTGCGAAACTGTCGCCACCAGCTCACGTCCAGTGCAGAGAGAAAGCTGTTTGGATTTGTAGCCGAAGTGTATTCTTACATTGTCCTATCCAACAGCATCACACCATTCAACATGAATTGCAATCGGACTCTGATCTATGACTCGTTTCTGCAGTCACTGGATGACTTACGTGATTTGGGCGCATTTGGTGTCATGTTCAGTGGGTTCCACAGTCTGTTCGAACTCATATCATCCATCTCTCTCTTTGCGGGAGAGCAAGAGGCACAGCCATCAACGGGTCCCAGTCTGCCACTCGACCGCTATGAGACATATAATCAACTGAAGATGCGCATCGACCATTTGGACATTTCCACGATAGAACACCCCGACACCGAGGTGCTTCCCGGGCACAGCACAGCATTGGGCGTGTTTCGAATAGCTTTACTGGTCTTTTTGGAAACCGCCGTCTCACCATTCTCCAAACATGACTCCATGCGAGTGCATCACCTTCAGCCCTTGCTGGATCGAGCCGTCCACGATCTCCCCGGGATGCTCGCATCGAACTATTCCTGCCTCATGATGTGGCCGATTATGGTAATTGGATCTTGCTTGATGAAAAACGAGCAGCGTAATGTGATCACGCATCTCTTGATCCATAATCATTACTTGATGAGAAACACCGCCCAAGCGAGCGTTCTGCTCCAATTGCTCTGGGATGATCCTGACGAATATGCGTTTGGGCCATACGGCCTGGGGCTGTTGATGAGAGGACACGGACTGCATTATGGTGTTATATAAATAAACAATGAACAGAGACATGGCCAGCTACAATTATTTTCAAATGCTCGGTTTACTTCAGCTGCCGCTGGTCTAATTGGCAACGCAAGCAAAGATCAATTGCAATTGCACCGAGCATGAATCAGTCAGGCATTACAATGTCGATGGGAAGCCTGATACGCCGAGCGTGTATATAGCCTCGAAGGCAGATTGTGCTGATATAGCAATTATTGATCGCCAAAGATCCAGTCACGCCTATGATATGAAAGATTACGGAGGCCGGCAAAAGCTAAAACTCAAGCCGGGCAAAGAAACATGCTCGATCTATTAATCACTGGCGCGCATAAGGCTCGAATGACGTTACTGCCATGTCGGGCTTTACCATGGCATCTTACAGACAATCCGCAATACGAAGAGGTCTTTGGCTGTGAGAACAATCCTTCAGCATCCCACGGGCCCCCACCACACGTACCCCAGAAAAACTAAATTTCGCAGAGAAAGGGATCATTGAAAGTCTTGTCTATTAAAAGCTGCCATTCACGATCACAGCTCCCTAGCTGGGGAGGGCAAGTTAATGACATACCGCCTCGGGCCTCGGAGTATAAGGAAAGCCCAGGCCTTTTATTTTCATATAAAATTTTATTTGACTTCGTTTCCACAAATTCCCGCACTATTAAACATTCCAATTGTGGGGTCTACCAGAACTATGGAACCATCTGAACCCCTCAAAAATGAGGCGAAATCTTAAATTTCGAACTGGATAGATTACGTTGTATCCCCGCACCTCTTTTCCCTAGGATAAATTAAGAAGAGAGACACATAACAGCGTCGAGTACATCGTATCGATCTCGATTCAAAGGCAGAAAGATATCCACGCGGCACCCTATCTGGTCAGTTCCCTTTCTAATCCCAAGCCAATGTTCGAGCTGCAGTTATAGCAATCAATCTTACACATATGTATCTCTGAAACCACTTAGTCTAGGAGGACTGATCACATGGCGTCTATCTGCGAGGTTTGCCCTCTTCAAACTTGTAATCTGATTATTGTAAGTGCCTAATCACCTTTTGGAATCGACAACCATGTCTACCCTTAGCTTCAGCTTACTGGAGCCTGGTCCACTGCACTCTTATCTGTAACCGACCCTTATCTGTAGCCGCCACATCGAGCTGTATAAGCTTCCCAACTAAGGGAGCGAAGGTCTGGATCTACTTGGGCTCTAGCTAATCTGGGCAATCGTTACGCACCGATAGCCACGATGAGGGAGGGGGATCTTGTTCACTTGCCGATATGGCGTCTCGACCAAGCTCGTGCAACGGCGGGGAAGAGGAGAATTGAGTTCAGGACGACATATTAAGGATTCTGAGGATGGTCTATGATCAAAGGCTTCATGCATGGCCAATCGCGTGCAAACCTGCTTGAACCATACATACGTTTGATAATTTGATGTGGTTGGTGTTGGCGATAGTAACAATTGTGCCGCTTGTACCTTCCCCGACACCCTCCGCATATATAAAGGCCGTCTCCGACTATCCAATGTACCAGGGGAAGCATGCTAAGAGTCAACATCAAATCTTCTTTACCAGAAACATGCCATCTATTTTTCCCCAGTCCAAGACCTCATTTATCGGAGATATCGACATGTCTGCAGACAGTGGGACAGACAAGAAGGCACAGGAAGCACCAGCTGACCACAGTCACATTGAATTTGCCCAGAAGGACGTGGAAACCGGGGCTAGCTTGGAAGATGCGATTACTGACAATAGTGATTCCTTCCCGGACGGTGGTGTCCAAGCCTGGCGCACGGCGCTGGGAGGATTTCTGTCGTTTGTTGCTAGTATTGGGTTCCTCAGCGGGGGATCTGTGTTCCAGAGCTACTTCAAGACAACTGTCCTTCCAGGCTCCAGTACATCTGATATCGCGTGGATCGGCAGCGTTCAGGTTTGGGGTTGTTACTTCTTCGGCATCTGGTCTGGGACTTTGTCTGATAAGCACGGGCCTGCTGTACCTCTTGCCGTGGGAACATTCTTCATGATCCTGGGTAATATGATGTCCTCTGTCTCGACCAAATTCTATCAATTTCTGCTCTCCCAGGGGTTTTGCGTGGCACTTGGCATGGGCTTTATCTTCACACCGGCTCTGGCTATCCAGTCACAATGGTTCTTGAAACGCCGTGGATTTGCCGTTGGCTTCGTCATGTCTGGCCAGATGGCTGGAGGTATGTGTTCATTTGAATCGGTGAACTATCACGGTCTAACTACTTATGCCATATTTTAACCCCAGGTATCATTTGGCCCGTTCTCGCAAACCGACTTCTCAATTTTGAGGGTGTGTCATACGGTTGGACTCTACGTATTATTGGTTTCATGCAGCTTGGCATCATGGTTGTGGCTATGTTACTAGTTCAGCGTCGATTCCCATATGTGATGGAGCGGAGGTCCCTGCCTCTAAGACAATACTTTACCGACCGTCGAACTATCTTGCTCACATTTGCTATTTTCCTCATGAACCTAGGCATTTATGTACCATGGGTGAGTGGTACCAGCCAGTTAAATTGATCGATGCGCTGACAATCCCTTCGAGTTTTACATCACTCCTTATGCCATCCAGCGCGGTTCCTCGGCAAGCCTAGGATTCTACGATGCAGCAATCCTGAATGCGGGCGCCTTCTTGGGCTGTTATGCCCTGGGCATGATAGCTGACTCTGGTCTGGGCTTTTTTAACTCGGTTATCGTGGCCACCTTTACTTGTGCCGTGATTTCCTTTGCTTGGATCGGCTCACACAGCATCCCAGGTGTCGTCGTGTGGGCAGTGGCATATGGAATGCTCTCGGGCGCACTACAGGCGATTTTCTCACCTTGTGTCTCTATGCTGGCGCCGACAACAGACGTTATTGGCTTTTGGAACGGTGAGGATTCCTTGTGTCATTCTTGGGATACCATACTGATGGAAGTACTATGTGCTACGCAGGAATCTGTATCGCTATCTCTTCATTCGCAGTGCTTGCAACGGGGCCGATCGCCGGACAGCTTCTTGAGAATGCCGGGGGGACCAATTATCTTGGAATGCAATTGTTTACTGGTATCTCCCTGACCCTTTCGGGTGCCTTGTTTGTGTGGACTCGGTTATGGGTTTCTAGGGCTGTTGTTGTTTAGCTGGGCCAAGCCACGATCCCAGACCTGTGGAGGCGTCTGATTTCAGTTCCAGCTTCAGGAATATGATTCTTATTCTGACTGAACTTGAGTAACGTATATCAATTTCCCATTACTATCGGAGCGAAGTGGGAATCCTGCTGGAATATGACATCTAGACTGCGCCGTATCTTCTGCATTGGATATTTCCAGAGATTAGAGAGATTTATAGTATTGTGTAGTGCCTTTTAGCTGCTGTCTTTCAAGGCATTCACTACCTGGCGCCGAAGCTCGCGGGCATCAGGATAGGGTTCCTCGCATTCACCATGATCTTCATCTAGTGTCTTAATAAACTCTCTGGCGTCCTACCAAGGGAAGAAGTAAACACCTTGATCAGGAGTTAAAGTGAGACTCGTACATCTTTACAGACCCTTAACCCCTTCCCAACCCGCCTGCTTACTTGAAGCAAAACCTGGCATTTGTCATTACATTTAGATACTTTGCCACGCTCCCCCTGCCACGCGGCCTTGTATAATCTTGAGTGAGTGAAGTATCTAGGAGGTGTTATAGCGAGGTTATAGTCAAACCCAAAGCCGAAGATGGATACAGTTCCCGCAGAGGCTGCTGGGATCGCCTGAGGACCAGTGGGTACATCCGGGCCAAGTATTATATAAGTAAAGTACGGGTAATGCAGGCTTTGTCCAAGTTCCTTTCTTTGAGATGGAAGCTAGTCAGGGATCATGACTCGCATGCCTTTTCTTCTGCCACATCATCCCGTCCCTCGTACTTTTCGTTCATCTCCCTGACACACCCACTTTCGCCCGTATTCCCATCGCAGAACCTATCCGCGATCATGTCTGATAATATCCTGTGGGATCTGCCAGCTCTCCGGGCCACTGTCACGCCTGACTGTGAGATCCTTCACGATCCTCAGGACCCTCGATTTCACGAACGTCTCAGGCGTTGGACCGGCATCGACCGAAGGACCCCCCACTGCTATTATCCTCCCCCGGTCTGAAGACTATTGTCTCAAAACAGTGAAGGTCCTACTGTACAGCTCTGAAGGCTTGTATGGGTTGACACCAATCATAGGTTTAATGGGCGCTCCAGTCGTCCATTCCCTTTGTGACCACCTGTGGCGGCCATAGCGCCTGGTCGACGATCGGTGTGGAGGGAATAATTATCGGCCTTAGTGGCTAAGTTGATGTGAGTGTGGATGCAGGTACAAAGACCGCTACTTTGGTCGGCGGGGTTCTATCCAAACAAGTGGGCATGCGTCTGGCCAAAGCAGGGCTGTTCACAGGTACATGCATTGCTCCATGCCCGGGAGGCCGCCAGTCTCGACTCTTGCTAATCATTCCGTTCAGCACTAGGAAACGGCAATATGGTCGGTGCAATCCCCTACTTTCTCGGCGGTGGGGTCTCCATCACGTCCTCTATCACAGGGTTTGGGTCCGATCAAATCGTGTCCGCGCGGCTTATCACGGCTAAGGACGGTGAGAAGCTGATCGAGGTGGCGAACGAAGAGCATCCTGATCTCCTGTTGGCTCTGTGAGGTGCAGGACAGTTCTTCGGGCTGGTAACTGAACTCACAATCCGTGCACACCCGCTCTCCCTCCTCCGTAGGCAAAAGGGCCTGATTTGGATCGGAGCTTTTATCTTCCCACTCGAACGGGCAACGGAGGTGGCTCCAGTGATGAAGAGACTGATGGCAGATGCCCAATATGAGGTTGCAGGCTTGATGATGATCAGTACTCCGCCACCCACTCGCACTCCATACCTGGTCATCGCCGCGCGGTACACCGGCGCTGAGGAACCGCAAGTCCCATTCAAAGCACTCTACGATCTGCATCCCATGGTTGTCACCGGAGGTGACGTTCCCATCCAGAACACCAGCGACGCACGGGAAGTCCTGTGCGCAAAGGGCGATTTTAAACAGTTCGGTGTGGTCGGATTACATGAGTTCAACGCTGACGGCCTTGTACGCACTATTGACACCTGGAAGCAAATGGTGCATGACTGCCCCGATGCCATCAAGACTGGGTTTAACTTTCAATGGGATTCACGGCCAGTCAAGACGCCCGAGGTGGAGTCGGCTATGTCCTTGCACGATATCCGATACTGGCAGTGCGTATTTCAACCTCTTTCTCCTACTGAGTTGCCCGGAACCAAGTAATTTGATGCTAAGGACGGCCAAATATAAGGAACAACTTGATCTGGCATACAGAGGTAAGGAACAGTGGTAAGGTGGGGGCGTACAACAATGAGTGCATCTCCATCATGCGCGGTGTCGATCAGTCACACTTCGTGGACTTTGAGAATGACACTCGCATCGGGCCATCGAGAGACCCTATCGCGGACAGGTTCGCTTGGAGAAGCTACGTAGATTGAAAATAGAGTGGGATGCGCAAGGTGCGTTTACTAGGCAAATGCTCGATTGACCGTATCGGAGCATATTGTCGCCAGATATGGCATTAGCAAGGGAGATAAGCAGCTGAATTCATGGTAGACTAAGTCAATACGACGTAAGGCCCTCTCTCACCTAACCCATGGCATGACGGTACCATGGCATGTAGCCACGACATCGTCTTTCTAGTGGAGTTTCGTAGTGCATGTAGGAAGTGGGCTAAAGGCCCAGACCCAGGCCTTGTACCAAGTTACCGCATATTCGATTCAGCTTTCGGCCTTGATGGTATTTTCCCTTTGCGTCCGGTTTGTGCATTTATCTACCCTCAATCCTGGTGCCTACTCGGGTTTTCAGCGGCTTCTGCTCCATCCAGGCCGCAAGTTGAGGGTACATCGCCCGCACGAATGCGCCTCACGTCTTGAATCTCAAATGGTGCGCACACACCAAAGATTACAACCGTCAAAACATGACCTCCGATCTGGTGCTAGGTCTCAGCTCACTAGTCCATCTTTCCCACGTAGATCATCCACCTCAGTCGTTGTCCAGGGCGGCTTAGCTGACTGCCCTCCCTCTCATTGCGATGTTCAGCAACACCCTTTTCACGGGAAGCTCTAACATGCCCTAACTTGAGTAGGCTTCCTAAAGGCCATTTATGCTTGAATCCCCGATACCTGAAGTGTGCTCCGGAGGTCTCATCAATATTAATCATCACTGTCGTCATAGGAGTCGTAGTCTGGATTATGAGCCTCGCGATATTTCTCCAGCGCTTCATATGCTTCAGCAGCGGGCACACTACTAGGTATTGCAGCCGTGCGAAGGTCATCAACAAACAGAAATGGAGGACCCGTAAGGTATGGGGGTAATTCCCGTTGCATGGAATCGGGGACTTGGAGACACGGACAGCGGGGCCGCGCCTCGTGCTCTCTTGATCGCTTCCATGTCACTGTCCTAACATGATAATCCAATTCTCCTGGTCGAACCTCATCGCGGATCCAGCGCTCATTCCCCAAACATGAGCTACCAGTCCATTTGAACACCGACGTCTCGCTTTCATATGGCGTAAGTAGGAACCCATCTTTCCGACGGAAGTACCACTTCTCTGCGGCTTCGCGGGCGATATAGTCCACCTCATTTTTTCGTCGCTCAATCGATTCAAATTCGATACAAAACCGCGAGACACTGTGTGGGAAACGAACCTTATTCACCCAGGTTGAATCGATCCGCAGCGGTTCATCGTCCTCCCAAAACCAGAAGTCGGTATATCGAATGGTGAGTGTGATCTTCTTGGGATAGAAATGCTGCATGTCCAGTGTCTCTTGGAACCGGTCGCCCGGCTCGAGTACCCACATTTGCGCGAAGATGCGGACAAAACGTGGTTGGAGTTTCGCATAGTCGGCGTCCATTATCTGGAGACAGTCACTCCATGTGGCCGACCGTGGCTTTCTGTCCATCGCGGTGAGGTACTCCGTATGCTCGGCGTAAATGAATGGCATAAACCACGCTTCCGTGTAGATTCGCTTGCACGTTCTCAGGAGGTCTGTGGGGACATGCTGCGGTCCATAATGGCCCGGTCGAGTCCAGTAGGTTTCTTTTTGATACGCTCGAGCCATGTCATCATAGCTGGACAGAACAAACGCGAAGATCTCCGTGCGCACCTCAGATGGGAGACGTGAGAACAACGGACTTTGGCGTTGATCGTGCTCGAATGAGAACCTGCAAGGGCACAGAGCTTCGCTCATGGTTGGGTCTGATGAATGTGCTGTTGGGGCTATTGGTCAATCAAAGCGCCCTTGTTGATGGAGGAGGATTTGCTCTCGTGAAACTCGCCGTGTTCGACTGAGAGATGGACAAGTCGAATGACTCCCGTATAATGAGGGGCTGCCTGTTGCCGCCTTAGGAGCCTCGTCTCTGCCTGGGACACGTGATACCACGAGGGCAGTTCATGATCACCAGTGCCCTGCTCTCGACAGAGACTTTCAACATATCAAGCGAAACGGAGCTGCTCTGGGTTTCGGCGTGAGGCATTATCCAAGAGATAGAGTATTCTGAGGACAGAACACTGACGTGGGAGGAGAGACTCGCGGGTCCACCCGGAACGTACTACTCAATAGATCTAAGATATTATAACCCAGACATGACGGCAAATGTGTCAGAAATCGCTATGTATGAAGTTCTCAAGATCCGTGGGAAGGGGGTGGAGGAACTGGTCCTTGGAGTATTATCTGTGGGAAAAGTTATCCAGTTATTGATTTCTATCTGCTGCTTTCAGAGTGGATAAATAGCTTGTCCACAGCCCATGCCTGTGAATTTACTCGGTCAACTCTTGGAGGATCGCGGTTCAACTCTTGGGTCTCATAGTTAGATCACTACCTTTGCAACTAAGCGGACCATCATGCATTCCGTGCCTATGCTCCCTGGCTGAAGTGAGATTCCTAGTTCTTATGTTCTGGCAATTACGCTCGAAATAGTCTAGGAGGGCCATACACCGGCGCCTTGAGTTTCATGGTTCAATTGGTATCACCCGGGAAGATAAAGCCCCCCGCCACGTCCTGACTCCTCAGTCAGTTCCACACGTACACTTTCTAACTCCTTGCGCATTGATTCCGGGCTAGCACTTTCCTGAAGACGTTCAAAGTCAAGGAGTTTGACCCCCGCTTCCGTGAGAAGAAAATTATATCCGTTTGCGTCCCCGTGTAAGAATCCTAATCCGTGGAGCTTCCCCAAGGCTGTTAAGCAGATACCCAGATCCTGCATGGAAGCAGGGCGTCCTTTGACCTTCTCTAATAGAAACCCCATGATGCGTCCATTCTCGTGAACATGGCCGAGGAAGCGCGGTGCCAGCCCTGAGCCCTCAAGCAGCTGGTAGGCTCTTGTTTCGCGTTCGATACGAGGAATCTCCCATTCGAAACGAGCTATTTTAGCAATGACGGCTTCTGGCGACTTCAGAATAATGGGAAGAATCGAATGCGAGACAGCTTCGAAAGTCATTGCTGTGAGCAGTTTGGTTTTCTCTAAGTCTAAGCAATCAACAAGGGTGTGATGCCATTGACACTTCACGCCAGCCAGTGTTCGGTTCGAGATGGAAGTTTTCAGGTCACCGCTACTTTCGTCTCGTGAAATGTGAGCTACTGTCCATTCATCGTCCCAGGGAAGACTCGGAAGGGACGAAACAGGAAATGAAAGCCTATTTCTGTCGAAGGTCTTAGGAGATATGACGACATATTTCACTGAGGTTCCGTCTGCCAGGGAGAGAGAGCGCGTCAAAGAGAGATCTATGGTTTATCAGCTGATCAATCCCTCGGCACAACTATTCTCCCAGATGCCAGGAATCCGCTATAGAAGATCGAACTTACTCTTCTACACTACACTACATATCTCCCACCGTACAGGGGTACAAGGAACGGCGACCTGGTTTGACTTCGTATTTAACGGGGGCATGGTATTCTCTTAACAATAAAAGTATACATGGACCAGAGTTCTAGCATCTGAACGTGTGTATTCAAGGCCCTCAACCACCATCACTCTAGTTATTTGGTTCTGAGACAAGCAGCGGAACAGACGAGAGTGCCATGGCCAAATTACCATGGTAACTTGACTACGGTACTCTCCTCCTCATACCCAGGGCGCCCGAAAACGACTTCGGCCCCCAGCTGGCCTGGTTCCAGATGCATCACGATGTTGAACAATGTTGAACAGTGCTGGGTTGGATGCAAGGATAGATCCTCGGAGCAGCAGATGCCCTCTGGAGCATTATACCTATCTGAGAAGATCCGTTCTCTCAAAAGGCTCGGGGTAATCTTGTTTCCAGCAACTCCTTCCTGGATGAGTTCGTCACAAAGCTGTTGGCACCGCGATAGTCGCACCGTAGAGCCCGGAAGCCATGGCGGTTGCCGCACATGGTCGTTTGCGATGAAGTGATTTGTGTGTATAATCATTCCGTTCTGATCCTCCTCGATATGAACATCGCCGAGAGGAGACAACTCAAGTCCCAGTGATTTCGAGCTGTCGGCAAGGAGAATATGTTGACTCGAAGCTGCACCCCCGAGGGAGGTTAGTCGTTCTAGGGCTGCGTCGACGGAGTCACTCTCGAGACATAGCCGGAGAGCGACGTGGATGGGAACTTTCGAGCTGTCACACACAGGTGCCTTGATGGCATTTAAACCGACGCCAACTCCGGCGCTGTTGAATCCGATCTTGCCAACAATTCCTGCCTAATGCCATACAATCAACCCTGATCCGTGGCAAGTGAATCGGGTTCACCGCGAGCACTGCGTCCCGAATGGAATTGGGCCAATGCAACTCACCTCAGTCACCATGTGGATCACCGGTTTACCGGGCTGTTCAATGCGCACCATCGCCATGTTCTTCCCTACGCTCGTGGTCCAGTCCCAGTTCTGCGCCAAGGTCCTGGCCTGTTCACTCATCTTCCACGAAAGCGCTGTGCATCCGTCTGAAAATCTTCCCAATGAAATCTCACTCCGACAATTTAACGCCACGATATCCAGCAAATCCACCCCCGCGCCGTCCGCGATACCTTGCATCTCTGCGTGGATATCGGGAATGGTTTGCTCTGCCGTCAAGCGAAATTCTTCCGCCAGTGCGCGCACCTGGGGCCAGTCCATTTTGGAGGTATATTCGAACATCTCTCGATAAATCTCCAGTTGATCCTTGATTTGGGGTTGAAGCTGGCGACCATGTGCGAGACCAATCTGTGCGGAGTGTTTAGATAACGGCGAGAGCAGCAGTCAAGTAGGGGGATTAATCCAGATGAACATTCCCATAGGGCTCAGAAGACCGTACCTCTCTTGGGGTGCCTTTCAGCACCAGCCTTGCAGGTATATCGCCGGTGTATGGCATGATGGATATGTTTGTCGACTTCCGTGTGCGCCGTGCTGGGAGAGTCCGCCAGGGATTCTATGGAGAAGAAGAAGTAGTCTTGCTTAGTGAAGCCAGCGGAGAGATTACAATTCACAAACTACTCCCTCTCTCTCCCTCTCTCGTCTGCTCCCCACCTTTTCCATTTATAATGACTTTTCGCGTGAACTTTCCCAATGGGGAAACAGATGGTCTGTGCTCCTCCTGTGGGCTTAAACTCCAACGGTAAACTTCAGGCGTATTCCGCGCTGGCAATCGGGGCTTTGGCTTGCTTGCTGGGATTGTTTCATGGTTTCTTATATGTGTATTAATGAAGACCCACTTCAGGGTTGATTTTCAAAATTATAACCTGTTTGTGGAAGAGCAATTGGATTACAGAGGCCCCACAGGGTCTCTCTTGATCTATATTGGCGGATAGGCACGGTGTAGTCTACTCGTGTCGACTTGATGCGGATTCTCTCCATGCTGCCACTGGCTACATTCTATTTCTACAGGCCAATATGTACCCTCATGCAATGTTGATAAAAGAAGACATCCGGCATCGGCGCTCAGACACTCCCAGGCCAGAATACCAACCGCGACAGCCGGTGGATGACTAACATATTCTTGAAAGTGCCTGAGTGTGGTTTGGAATGCGAAACAGGTGTACGTAGAAGATTAAAATAAAGCATAGTAGCCAGAGGGTCGATTTCAATTCCAGTAGTAACAGCTGGCCTCCCCTCCAAGCGCAGTTCGTACACTGGATAACATACTCGACATTACAAGCGTGCGATACCGCAAGGTCGTCATGCGTTGAAGATATCTCTGTGCGTGATGTTTCCAAGACAAGGCTTATATCGAGATTTGCCTTGATAACCTCCCACAGGACTGACGGATGGAGGTTTCAAAGGACTGCTGGACTACCGATGAGATTGTCCTTCGCCGGCTACGGAAGCTATTTATTCCATCAACGAATTCGTGCGTACGGGGTGGATATCGGCTATTGATTCAAATGAAAATTTTCAGTTCTTTACCCGAACAAAAGAACCACTCAAAAGATCTAACAAGGGGACAGGCTCAACGGAAGCACACTACAAAGCTCTTCACATGAAGATAGTACGTAGTCCAGGTCATTCTTTGTGTGCATCGCTTCAGCGCTTCAGCGCACTCCAGACAATGCAACGGAGTCGCAGGATAGGCGACGACGACGACAGAGATCTTCCACGGAAGCATCTCGCGCGAAAATACTGGCGTTTTAGCCGGGCTCAAGAGAAGTGCGGGCACAATCGGTGAGTCTTCATTGCCATAAACAGTATATCCAATTCGTCTCAGACCTTGACGGAGATAGCGCGAGTTCCAGAGCAGCTGCTTCAGTCGGGTGTTTCCTCCACCACTTCCCTCCCCATTGGCGAGGATGATTTTCATAGAAGCAATAATCTGTGCCATCACAGCTGGTACGGGTGCCTCGCCGTAGTTGTATCCTGGATTCGTCGTTCTGAGTTTGGTAATCACATCCTGGCTGCTCGCAATATACCCTCCACTAGCACTAAACGAAATGCCGAAAATGCCCATCAAAATATCGACATTCCTTGGGTTGACGCCAAAATAGTCGCACGCACCCTTTCCATTCGGACTGACAGCACCGTTTAAATGTGCCTCGTCCACGAGAAGGTAAAACCTGTAGTGCCGCTTTAAAGCCACTAGCTCACGTAGGCTGCACGTGGACACAACCAAGGTTTTCTTCCATTGAGGTTTCAGTCACGGCTTTTCTTATCTTCCTCTGCAGGCAACCTAGGTCATTGTGCCTGAAGATAGGAATCGTCGCTCCTGAAGCTTTTATCCCAAATCGAATCGACGCTGGGGCCGAGGTTGCGAAACACACTCTTTTACTGCTTCACCCGGGATTTCCATTGCAATGTGGGTTCTTTGCGCTGCTATTTACATCGAAACGACGGTCCAACTAGTGAGGGACCTCTTTGGAATCTTTCGACGTAACGACTGGGATAAAACTATAACGCATGGCTACGGAGAAAGGGGGTATGAAACATTGAGAACGCTTTAGGACATTGGTTCTCTATTTAGCCATCAACCCTAAATCCCCCTCAATAGTTTGTGATCCTTCAGATAAATGCCCTTCCCCCCTGCATTCCAACGCCACCACGCGTCAAATGCCGATGCAAAAGGACGATCAATCACATTTTGAAGATGCGAGTGGCCACTTTTTTTCTTTTCCCTCCGTTCCTGCCTCCCGGCTTCTCCTTCCCTTCATGACTTTTCCACCCTCGATTGGACGCGACAGGTTATTTGTGATCCACACTCCTCCTGTCCCAGTCAACAGCAAAAGTCATGACGGAGTACCAGGAGGTCATGAACAAAGCACCTCGACACCTCAGGCGATACTAGTTTCTCTACTTTCACAAAGTCTATGGGGTAGCGCTGCCCAATTCACGGAGGCCACCATGGCTCGACAGCGAACGGTCTCTGCTCACGCCTCGACATGTTTGATAACAGAACATAACAAATTTGGACCTATTGTAGACGAGAATTGCTACAATGGGCTTGATTTTACTTTACTCTTTGAGGAGAGCTTCATGGTTATCGCGCCCGCCATTTTCGCCATCGCACTGTTGGCGTGGCGTATTTGGCACCTGCAAAGCCAGCCGACAAAGGTTGCACGAGGTTTGTTATTTTGGAGCAAAATAGTAAGTCGTCTTCGATACTTTCATCATTGGCTTCCACGGGCTCGTTTGACAGGCTGTCTAGATCTTGTATTCCCTACAATTATCGACCCAAGCCATCATCCTAGGGTTATGCACCGTGGGTCCCAGGACAAGCCTCACTTATAGCTCAGTGATTCTGTCCATCCTCGCTACGATCATGTGCATGTATGGTTCTCACCTCGAGCACTCTCGAACCCCTTGCCCCTCAGCAATTTTAGTTCTCTACCCGACGGTAATGATACCTTTTGAAGCTGTTCATGTGCGAAGCCTCTGGTCAATCGACGGCCTCCGCCATATCGCAGTGATGGTTCTTATATCACTCGGAGTCAAATTCATTCTTGTAATTGTTGAATCGTTGCCAAAAATGCGACTCCGATATCCAGGACACAGCATCCGTAGCCCGGAGGAAATGGAGGGCCCATTGGGGCGCGCCTTTCTCTTTTGGCTGAACCCACTCTTTCTCCTGGGGATGAGAAACAAACTCAGGCTCCAGGATCTTTTTCCTGAAGTGGGAAAATTGAGCCTTTCCTCAGATGAACAGAGTCTACTAAAGTTCTGGAACCAATGTATGTACTCAAATAATTATTCATGTTGTGGCACGATAGTAATGTTTTTTTTTCTTTCTTTGATTCAGGTGCCAACAAAAAAAAGCCTCATGCATTAGCCTTCTTAATCATGAAAGCTTTTAAGAGCGAAATCATCTCCTGTATTTGGCCTCGGCTGGCATATAGCGGTTTCGTGATCGCTCAGCCATATTTGATCCGTCGAGCAGTTACTCTGTTTGCCCTTCCCCATGGGAAGAATTCCCACGATCGTGGAGTACTTCTCATCCTGGCATTTTTACTCGTATACGGTGGCATGGGAGTAAGGATAATCTGAAACTTTAGAGTAGACTTTCACTGACGGAACAATTTCTTCAGATCTCCCTGGCCATTTCAAAGCACAAAGCAGCTCGCCTAATAGCTATGATGCGCAGCTCCCTGACCATGATGATATACGACAAGACAATGCGTTTACCGGCCTCGTATGGTCAAGATAAGGTACTCACTACTATTGGCACGGATATTGAGCGCATGGCTTTAGGCCTCTACACCTATTACGAGTGCTGGGCCGCGCCCATCGAGTTGGGCCTTTTTTTCTGGATGATTTACAGAGAGCTCTATGAAACCAGCATAGCCGCGATGCTTCTCTCTGCTTGTAAGTTCAAGCCTGGTTGTTTTTCTTTTTCTTTTTCTTTTTTTTTTTAAAAAAAAAAAAAAACACGGGGTATTGACCACAATACAGTTGCCGTTGTCGGTGTGGTTTTGCTGGCTCCATATGCTGTCAAGAAGCAGACCTTTTGGATTGACGCAATCCAAAAACGTGTCGCAGTTACAGCAGAGCTGATTAATGGAGCCAAAGGGGTGAAAATGTCCGGGCTTACAGACCGGCTTCATACAATTCTAACTGGCCTTCGCCTTGAGGAAATTTCGATATCGAGGGACTATCGTTCAGTTGTGACAGGCATCTTTACGCTTGGTATGTACCCTCCAGGTCTTTATTTGGGGTTTGGGCTGATAGTTATATCAGCAAACACACATTCAATTCTTACCCCAACAGTCTCCTTTGCTATCTACATGTTTGTTTCCCGCTCGAAAAATGGAGCCATCGGGACTCTCGACAGCCCGCGCGCATTCACTTGTCTAGCCTTGCTTGAGCTTTGCGGTGAAACGCTCTTATCTTTACTCCAAGCTATTTCAAATGTTTCCTCGGCAGTTGGCTGCATTGATCATATTCAAGAGCTTCTGTGCGAGGATGAACACCGCGATCAGCGCATCATCACATCGCAGCCGCTCCTGGCCGGAATGCCCTGCATAATTGCTCATGACTTCTCCGCGGGGTGGGAAGGGCCAATTATCCGAAAGGCCTCCTTCATCATCCCATGCAATTCATTGACAATGCTGATTGGGCCCGTTGGTTGTGGAAAATCCACTCTTCTCAGGGCAATTCTTGGGGAAACAACGCACAACAAAGGGTCCATAATCGTCAACACCGCAAATATTGCGTACTGTAGTCAAACTCCATGGCTCGTGAATGGAACAGTACGGGAAAACGTCCTCGGCTCAAATGCCTACTGGGATGACTGGTATCGAATGGTAATTGAAGCTTGCTGCCTGCAGGTGGATATCGCGCAATTGGTCAATGGAGATGATACCATCGTTGGATCCAAGGGATTATCTCTCAGCGGAGGGCAAAAGCAGCGTTTGGTGAGTGCTCACATAGACTACACTCATCTCATCGCTAACACGAACAGGCTCTTGCACGCGCTGTGTACTCTGGGCATAGCTTGGTGATTCTCGACGATGTACTAACTGGATCAGATGCCGCTACAGAGGATCATATATTCGAACGGCTTCTAAGCCCGTGCGGCTTGCTAAGAAAATTAGGGACTACAGTAGTCATGGCGACAAGCCTCAGTAAGAGCGAGTGTCCGTGCCACAATCAAAGTGCTGATAAATGTCCTAGCCCAACGCATACAACACGCTGACCATGTCATCACTTTGGGGTCAGATGGCTTTATCATTGCTCAAGACACTAACTCAAATACCGGGGTAGGTCATGATCCAGGCAAGAAGTATTCCATGGACGTTGCCCCGGGTTTCAAAACAAAAGCTGGTCGCCGTATCACGATAACCAATTTGAATGCTGAGTCAACCTGTTCGATGAACCCAGCCACAAACACTCCTGTAGACGACAGTTTGGGTGATGATGCCCGTCATTCCGGAGATTTTGCAACTTACAAGTACTATTTCTCTGCAGCTCCGTGGCACAGATGGGTAGTGTTTCTTGTTGCCCTCGCAGTTGGGGTATCTACCAAAATATTCATGTGTAAGCAAGTATCTAATGGTATTAGATGTGGACTGTGTTGACTTCAATCTCTTCATGATAGCTACGTGGATAAAGTGGTGGGCACATGACAATGATATTGAACCCAACCGCAATCTCAAGATGCGAGTTGTTGTCGATTGCACTCTTTGTGCAATATACGCTACTATGTTTTGGATCTCTCAGTGGTATGGCCCTATTGTATTATCCTTTTTGTTGTTCGTTTTGAGCTAAAGCTTTGATATAGGATCATGATTCATGGAGTCACGGCAAAGACGATGATAACGCTGCATCAAAGACTTCTCGTAGCCGTAATTCGGTACGGGAGGCCTTTCATCATATTTCGAGATGGACTTAGTTAAAGAATTGTCTAGGGCCCCAATGTCCTTCTTTTCAAGAACCGATTCAGGAACTATAATGAACCGGTACTCTCATGCCGCCAACTCCTCGTCATTAGGACATGCAGCTGACAAGAAAGGACAGTTTCAAGAGCGATCTAGAGCTGATAGACTTCGAATTGCCTCTGGTGGTTTTTATCACCATCGCGAGTAATTATACCTCCTCTCTCAACCTAGCACAAACTATTCTGATTGACTCGGTTTACCACTCACACAGCATCGATGGAATGTGTCGGGGCGATCGTGGTGGTCATTGTCAATGTCCACTACATGGCAGCTGTGATTCCTATCTCGATAATTATCATTGGGGCCGTAGAGATATTCTACTTGCGGACTTCCCGACAGCTTCGAATTCTTGACCTCGAAGCAAAGGCACCAATTTTGAGACACGCCATGGATACGGTAGGTGGTCTGGTGACAATCCGAGCTTTTGGCTGGCAGAATCAGTACAGAAACCTCGCCAACACAAATCTAGAGGTATCACAAAGGCCATTCTATTTGCTCATGGTGGCACAGGTTTGGCTTGGGTTGGTATTGGACTTTGTCATGACCGGGTTCGCCGTCGTCCTCATGGGAATTGGTGTCGCCAAGCTAGGGAATGTCTCGGCCGGCGATATGGGATTGGCACTGACAAGCACCATCAACATCGGCATTTGGATGAAAACGCTGATCAAGTTCTGGATGAGTCTCGAGACGTCCCTTGGAGCTGTTGCACGGGTGAAGGACTTCGAGCAGAACCTGGAGTCTGAAGATCTACCTGGCGAGCGTAAAATACCGCCCGCTATCTGGCCAGCCCAAGGAAAAATTGAATTTAGAGAGGTCACTGCATCCTATGGGTAAGTTCTGGTGGGAAGTTTTATGAGATCGTTCACATACTGATGGTGACTTCATCTGCTCCAGGAGGTCCTCCAACCATGTTCTCCAGCAGGTCTCGTTTACTGCTCGACCAGGAGAGAAGATCGCCATTTGCGGTCGGACAGGTAGGTAAGCACTATCGTATCTGACAGATGGATGCCGACTTGATACCGAATAATGACCTTTCATAGTGGTAAAAGTACACTTGTCGCAGCACTGTTCCATATGATTGATTTGTCGGGCGGCCAAATCCTACTGGATGGACTGGACATCACAACGATTTCCCGACAAAGACTGAGAGCATCTCTGAACGGGCTACCCCAGGATTCGTTTCTACTTAATGGATGGACTATTCGTGAAAACGTTGACTTTTTCACTTCCACCTCCGATGCAACCATCGTCTCTGCTCTGAAAGCGGTGCATCTTTGGGACATTGTCGAAGGGAAGGACGGTTTAGACACGGTCGTGCATGAGAGCACCTTTTCTCATGGACAGAGACAGCTGGCCTGCCTTGCGCGAGCTCTTGTCCGACATGGAAATGTCTTGGTGCTAGATGAAGCAACAAGCAGGTAAGCCACCGTGAAGTCCACATTATTAAGTACAAAGACTAATCCACCCTGGGTTCAAGTGTCGATGAAAGCACCGAGCAGTTGATGCAGACATTGGTTCGTTCACATTTTTCCAGGCACACTATTCTAGCGGTCACCCACCGGCCTTCTACTGTTTTGGATTTTGACCGTGTTCTTGTCATGGAAGGGGGCCGGATCGTTGAGAACGACCATCCCCAGAAGCTTCTGAAGCGAGAGACCCGGTTTTCGAACTTTCTGAGGGTTTCCGACCATGACGCGATTTTATAATTGGTGCATTCCTATAAATAAAGAGCCAAATGAACAAACTGACTGAATCCTCTTTGTCCTTATGGGTGCTATAAATGCACCTTGATTCAAAGCTATTGCTTTCGATGTTAGACAAATTGCATGTTCAGCATCTCCATGCAGTCGAAGAGGATTGTCCATGTGACTGTAAGTCAATAAGAAGTTCTTCAGTTCTAGTCTACGGCACTAGTGCTTCATGGCGTCGCAAACCCCGGCATATATATTACAAAACGGTGAACGCTTCGCAGAGATTATAGTCCCAAACCGCCAAGGTTCGCACTTGCCAATCCCTTAAGGACTGGCAAAAGCTCTCGGACCCGGTGTAAATCAAGTGGGCCATTGGTGGTGGTGGTGGTGGTATAAATTCCCAAATTTCGGTTTTGGCAACGCTCTACCGGTGCGCACAACCTCTCTGCGGAAACGTCGCTGGAGGAAGACTACCGAATCATAAAGCGGCGCATCGATGTGCCAGAGTATACACCACGCTTAAAGGTTGCAGAGCTATTGTACTGCTCTATTTTTGCTAAGGATACAAAAGAAAGGCCACAGTCGCAATGACTGCGTCACGGCGTCCTGTCTCTAACTCTCTGCCAGGACCTCGGGTACGTTTTTCGTAGGATTGCTGCCGCCCGGGTGAGCAATTGGGTGAGGCTGCTTTTGGTCGCGCGACCAGGGGTGATTCTCTTTCACAATTCGCTACTGACTCGATTAGTGAAACGCCCGAGCGCTTGGTAAAGTATACAGCCACGCTGATCGTCCCAGGTAGCAGCGTTGTTCTTCTTGCCTTGCCGCGAGTACGACTAGATTGGTATGGTTCAAGATTATCGTTATCCAGCCATCCAAAGAAGCACTGCGGTGCTAATGCTGGCTATCAGGTGTCCCATGAAGAGATGTTCTCTATGTAGCAGTTATCACAATCAAATCTTCAATCCTGCTATGCGGTCTTCAAGTCCCTGTGTCTCTGCAGCTTGGCAATCCCCGTTGTGCAGCAAACCTTGGAGTATATTTTCCACGCTCACCGCGACCGACAAGAACAAGTCAGAAATATCGCTGAAGTCAAATGTGTACGTCTTTCCTCCATCCGCTTTGGTGAACGATAGATTGAGATTCTCCAAGAATCGCCCAAAAGTTGTCCACAGATTTCGATGAACAGGGGAGCCAGCGACTGTAAGGCTACTGATGAGGCTCTTCAGAGAGTCTGGATCGTAGACACCGCGGCTCGTGCCGGCTGAGATATATCGACTGCCGCGGATGCTGCAAATTATCCCCGTCAGAAACCTATAGCATTGCTTTTCGCCAGACGATATTTCCGAACGGTTATCAGGTGTGATGTCATCCGGATGGATAGCAGTATCTTGATACCCAAGCTCCCAGAGGCATAGACTTGCATCGTTGAATCGCTCTGATATCCACTCTCGTAGAGTATTGTTGTCTATATCGTCTGTTTCGTTGTTTTGGCTGCTGAGAACCCAAGCGACTATCCATTTCCTTATCTGATTCAATTGAGATCGCAAATAGCGGCCGCAATACTTCAGGTCCCTAAAAATCTTGTGTAAGTGTCGTTCGCTATAAGCCCATCTCGAAGTTAGAGTGCGTACGATTTACGGAGGTCTAACAAAAATTAGCAAAGACTGCTTGTTAAAGTAACAATAGGGTGGTATACTTGTTTCGGTTTTGGCTTCCTCTTTGCACCTCTCCTTTAAAGAATCCATCCATTCTTCTTCTCTCCAGGTTCCCTCATAGATACGACACGCCTTTGCAACATTTAAAAGCAGTAGTTGGCGAAAGCAACTGTTGTAGGGATTGAAATTGATTGCAAAGCTCGGATGGAACGAGTTCACTCTTTCGGCAACGGATCCCGGACGCAAACAGAGCGTTGGCTGGTCAAAGTCATGGCCGATGCCCAAACTTCGAAATTCAGACATCGGACCGAGTTCGTTATTCTTCGCTTGCCGCCACATACAAAGAACGACATCCGGATCTTTTGTAATGATTACGTCGCTGGTGGCATTCCGTATTATCCATCTGTCCCAACTCGAAAGGTTGTCCTGCGGTCTGACAAATGGTAGGGAATCGATGATGGACAATGTTGAGCTCCCTATAGAGATCGTCCCACAGGAGGCGGCACTGAATGCTTCGTCTACTGCGGAGAAGGTTGGACAGGCGCCGACGACCGCTTCAATGCCTTTCCAATATGGGTGAAATCTCCACGGCTGCTGTAGCACCACGGTGATCCCACCGGTGGCCTGAGGCCCGAACAGTTCCAGAGTTATATCAATTTCATGTTTAGATATATATCTGTCTGTTCGTCTGTCCGCAAGGCTTTTCAGAAGTTGTGCATCCGCAGGGTCTCCTGGCATGCTGGCCTGCGTTCTGGCCCGGATAGGTCTAAAGAGGGAACGAATCCGATGGTCGACTGCAACGCCCAGACATAGCGCAGTTGGCGAAGAGGTACAGGAGTCCATCTTTATCTTGATGGAAATGAGATAGCAATGCTACTGTATCAAGATGGAAGAAGCAAAGGTGACACCGGTATCTTGTAGATTCGTTCTGTATAAGTGACGGGCATTGAAAGCAAACTGGTCTCCGTCCATCAAATATACCTGATGCTCGTGTTTGGCACTGTGGCGACGGCTTCCTCTACCCCTCTTTTCCGGAACTGCTCATGCACAGCGGTCACAACGCGCATGAAACCACACCAATCATTGTCCTGCTTATCCGGGATGCTGAACTGAACGAGATACATATGACGAGAGGATGCAGCCCAATCTCTCTTTGATTTAGGGATTATTCTTTTCGAAGGAAAAAGTGCCGTATAAGGAGACATATTTACATTGCTAGATCACCCGTGGATTGTTAAGTCTGTCGCGCTATGAGACGATCCAATAGGGCTATACGTCAAGAGGGACAAGAGGATATGGCCCCAGGCAGGCCCAAGCCTTACGTTAGCCAGACCCTGGTCCAAATGCAAACCCCTGCCTACACCAAATTCTCATAAGTACCAATGACCTTGCGAGATATGGCCATGATCTTATCTGAGGATAGCGGGGCAGGTTTTGCGCTGTTGGGTTGTGCTCGATTCGTGCTAGGCCAGCTTTCATCGGTGGAAACAATAGAGGGATATTATCTATGTACCCCCTAGGCCTTCATAAATTGATATGACTTCAGTATCTCATTTGACAGCTTATGATCTCGATGGGGACTGCCCCAGTTATCCCAGCCATTTCCCGCGCGGAAAACATTGCTCTGCTATCCCTCCTTCACTCAGCTTCCAGTACAAGCCCCCTCCAAGCCATTCCTACAGTGCCGTCATCAAATACTCCAGAGCACTTCAATTCAGCAAGGAATTACAACTTGTCAGTCGATAAAGAGCGGAGCTTAGTCGGAACTCTGGCTTTTTTAGCACAAACGGAGGAGGACCCTAACCATATCCCGGCCATCTGCGTCGAACAGGACACCGACAGGTTGAATATACTTTATCGCGATAAATAAAGCCAAATGGTCTGATGGCGATTCCATCCTCCATGCGTTAGAGGAGAGATTGAATATGATCTTTGCCATATTGCAAACTGTATTAGAACGTGAGTGGCACAGATCTTATTGCTATTCTGCAAGACTGACAACAAATCAGAAGACCCGTCAGTTGTCGAGGAAGCCTTGTTCGCGAATATAGTCGATATGTGTTCGTTGCGCATCCTCTACAGGTTGGGTTTAAGAGCGAGTAGAAGAAAGCAGACCAGGAAATCGAAGAGACCAATCAAGGAAATCTTGCAGAACGTGATAAGGTGTGCCAAACAAGTCGCGGCGAATCCAGGCGCGACTGAATCTCTTCAGGCCACTACACTACTGTTCAGAGATAAAGCCAGAGAAGTTACGAGCCTAATAGATTCGTGGCAGGGTCATCAGACTGTCGCCCGTCTAGGTGATTTGGTCAGGGGAATAAGCCACCTACACCAAGTGAACCAGCTCAGTGACCTGCTTAACGAGATACCGGCACTTGAGCTACAGGACGAGGCAAAAAAAAGCTTCCGGAACGTCATCGGAAAAGTCTCCCGGTACGCCGAGGCTCCTAGAATACTTCGACGGATAGCAAAAAGGTTCCGTGTAGCTCGATACATGAGAGCAATTCCCGTCAAACTTCCGAAGGACTCATTTTGTATCCCACCAAACGGCCCATACGCTCCTGACATAGGATCTTGCGTTGCTCGAATAGATCGTCAATACTCTGACCGGAAGCGGTTGGACCGGGTCTACCATCTTCTGGGCTATACCGAGGCGCAATCTGCATCCCTGTTCTCAGAACAGGTACACAGGACACTACGAGAAGCTAAAATCCATGCGGAGGTTCAGCTACTCATTTACTGCGAACTACAAAGGCCGGCATTTTTTCCCCGTGTCGTCTGCTCAAGCAAAGACGCCTGCTTTTTGTGCAGCGCTTTTATCTGCCTGCATAAGCGAATGTATACGCCGAGATGCCATGGGAGATTGTACCCCGGTTGGCGATTGCCATCCTTACCTCAGGTGAAAGAATCAGAGGAACGCTTTAACAAGGCACTCGAGAATTCTATCAAGGAAAGCATATCTACGCTCTTCGCCAGACAACGAAAAACAACATACCCGCCCCCCAACGAAAGCACCCTCCTCACCATTCCCATCTCAGAGACAACCAAATCTGGCTTGACGCAACTCAGTTCAGGGCAGCTGTCGTGTGAAAGGAGCATTCAGCTTTACTCCCACACGACTCAGAAGCCACATAAAGAGCCAGAATCCGGGAACCCAAGCGATGCAAGTATTCCTTGTGGCACAGCATGCGAAGGCAGCACAACAGATCTGGGTTCCCCGCCTATAGTCGAAGGGCACGAGCCAGACAGCAAGATAATTAGCAAGCGAGAGCTGTCGCAGGGCATAGTATTGCATAACAGTATCGAACCTGGCGGGAGCTCGACACGTTATATCGCTGGCCCGATAAAACTTACCATAGAATACCCGGCGGGACTAGAATGTATCAAATACAGTGTTGAATGGCTCACTGCGGAAGAGGTGAAAGATTTGAAGAGTAGAGTTCCTCCACCTTTATCCGTGGATGTGGAATCCCTGGCAAGTGAGATGTCGATACGAAATCACAACAGTGTCTGCATATTGGTGAAGGGAACGGCGTTGAGACTTAGTTGGGAGTCAAAAAGACATGGTGTACTATCGTCGGTTCATACTTTGGGCTCTCTTCTTGAGTGAACGGTTTGGTTCTATACCCGGGGTGGTGCCCGATGTTGTCCGCTATCATCGGATTCTGCGACCCAAATTCAACGGGTGGGACTATCAGGCCAGGTCTGGTTTATATCTGTCCGCATGCGAGCCCAGCGTAGTAGAAATGAAGGTGGCCTCAGGCTCGCTGGCTACTTGGAGTTTCACTTGATTATTTTCGTAAAGGAATTTTTCAAGTATCTACGACATGCTTTATCTACTACTTGGAATTTGCCTTACTACGTGGCTTTTCATTCGACGGCGTCGCTTGTAGTCGCTGCTCTGGGTGTTCAAAGCGCGAAGTACTAAGTGAGAGACTCATGCCAGCAACGGCCTGTCCGCTAATCGCAGGCTCAGCGTCTGCGTTTATTCAAGGCATCAAATACTGCAGTAGATGTAGTCATGGATCAGACGTTCGTCTCATACGTACCGGCTCATATCCAAGAGACCTTATGCTGTAGACGAGTCAGCCCAGTGGAGATAGTCACCCTAGCGTAAGCAAGATCAGGGTCTAGAGGCTTTCTTGTTGGCCGGCGATTAAGTTGCAGGCCACTTGACCGACATAGGACAAGAGTGGTACGCCTATATTGAACAACTGTCCACAATGGCAGTCAGGGTTTAAAATCACAAGTTGAGTCTAAGCTCTTGCTGCAAAGTCCTTCGCCAACCCTACAATACCACTCTCCTCTAGGTCAGCTTCTTGGCCATAAGCTTCTTCAGGTCTGCTGGTGCCAATTCTTTGATGCCAAGCAGCTCATTATCCGTCACATTATATGCGCCACCATAAGTATCACCAGCGAGAGCGGTACCTTTCATCAGTTTCATGAAGGTCGGCACACTGAAGTCACCGGCACCGAACTGTTCTAGACTCTCCTGCAAAAGCACGCTTGTACGTTGCTTGCTAGTCCTCCACTTGATATCTGGTCGAAGTTCCTTTGCAAACCCAATCAGCTGGTTTTGAGTCAAAATTGTCTCTGATGCACGAATGACTCTGTTCTCCGTGGCATCAAAGTTCTGCAAGATTGCAACGATAGCTCTTCCCACCACAGGTAAGGATGTAGCACTGATCCGATTGTCGCCTTCGTCGAGTATAGTCACCGTGTGGTTCTGAAAATCCAGCAAAGTTGGAGTGTCCAAAACCAAGTCCAAGAAGGCGCCACATGCAAGGACTGTCCATGTCAGTTCTCCAGTTGCTGCCTTTGCCTGGAGATAATTCCGAATACCGAACATGGAACTATAGATTGGAAAAGTTTCAAGGTTCGGATTGGTGGTAACGTTGCCAAATTCAGAAGGAATAAAACGCTTCACTCCCGCGGCAATGGCGGCGTCGATAAGCACAGTCTGATTGTCGATTGCTGCACCACCCACAGTTGATACGACAGCGTCCACACCGTTAAGGGCAGCGGTCAACGACTTCACTGAATTGAAGTCAACTTCGAAGACGTTGATGTTCGAGGCGTATGCTCCAGGCTGTTGAGAACGAGTGAGAATCGAGACCTGGAAGCCTGCATTGACAAGAGCTTGGAACACGTAGGGTCCCAGTGTGCCAGATGCCTATAGAAACTCTCAGCTATTTCGCTCATATATGTTGGTCGGAATCCTTACGCCAGCGAGCGCAACAGTTTCAATCCTAGGCATTGTGCTGAATACCAGTGTTATTTTGACAGCGCTTCAGAAGACAGCGAAGGAGATACAGAGAGATTCCTATCGCAGGACATAAGACTATGATATATGTATGTTTAGGCACAGTTCTTCTAACGCATTGAAATCCCCTTACTGAGTGCGTCCTATGTATCCGCACCTCAATCCATGAAAAGTCCGCACTATTCCCGCTCTAGTTCTAAAAGCCCGCCGGAGTGGCGACCGCAAATCCGGCTGACGAAATTCAACATTTTAAACTCTCCGCCGGAATGCCGATTCACGTTACCCCGTATCCCGCAATCCATCCGTTCATATCAGGCAGGATAAACTCGTCAGAATGGATGCTCATCTTCGGGTGCACCTTGCCAGAAAGGCTTGTACACGATGTAGATCCCAGAAGAGGCGATGCGACCGGGCGACTCCTGCATGCGGACTATGCCAGAGGTGAGCGCCTGTTGAAAGTACTGGATAGCCGCGGAGCTCCTAACACAGACTTCAGGCTTCGTCAAGCGTGCCACTATGAAGGACGGGTGATATCATCTCCAAGTTCGATACCATCGTCCTCCCCTGACGCAGAGATCTCCCCTGAAACGTTAAGTCCGGGCCATGTAAAGGACGCTATTGTCAAGAAACTCACATCAACCCCGAACGATATCTTTGAGAGCTACATCCAATCCATCCATCCTTGGTTTCCTATTATAGCACCACAAACCTCACAAGGTCAGCTCCCCAAATCCTGGAACGAAGCTTCCCTGGATTATACGCTCCTCGCCCTCTGCATTAGTTTGCTTTGTACCTCCCCGCCCCCCTCTTCAGGAGACGGGACTCTATCTGGTCTTCGATCCGCGTACCTTCAAGTCAAGAGCTGGATAGCAGTGATTGAAGGACTCGAGGTCACCTCGCTCAAGATCGTCCAAGCAAGAACTTTGGTCACTCTATTCGAAGTTGCGCATGGCTTCTACCCGGCAGCTTACATCTCTATTGGGACTACGGTCAGAGCTGCCGATGCACTTAAAGTGAACGCTTACTTATCTCCATCATCGCCAGCTACTGATGAGTCCTGGAGGGAGGAGGCCGTACTGATCGGGTGGGCAATCCGTATTCTGGACAGGTGCAGACCTCCCTTTATCCCTCAAACTATAACTCCCTTCTGTACTGACACATTTTAGATTTATAGCAATACACTTTGGACGTCATCCATCTCTCACTCGCTCTGTCGCTGAGGGTATCCATGATCTTAACAAGATCCCGTGGCCCACCGGTCTCGAGAAAGACAAAAGGAGCCCTCTCTGGCAACTTTCTCGTATGTACGAAGCGTCCACACTTCTTGATAGCATACACAATGCGTTACACAACCCCACTTCAGAACAAGCATTCAATGTGGAAGAAATAGGGCTTTTGGTGGAAACATCACATAGCCTCCGGACGCTCCTAACCAAAGAGGTCGAAGATATGGACCAGATATACTCCGGTGGGCTAGGGCTCTGTCATACGTTAGTTGAGCCGTGCTCTTCCCTTCCAGATCGTCTTGAAATATTCGCATCAACGCTGATGTTTCGCAGTGGCTTACTCCTAGCATACGAGAACGGCTCCAAAGTCCAGATTACCGATGAACAAACTTTAACTTGCCAGTCACTTGCCACATCATCTCTCCACCCCCTTCTCACTACCATAACCAACACAGTCTACCCTTTTGTCAGTGGTACACAAGCCATAGAACTGGGTCGTCTTCCTCCATTTATCACTTTTTCTGTGTACAAAGCGGCGAGCATAGTGACAGAGAGGATATGGATGGAAACTGACTCAAGTGAGGCATTGAGAAAATTACGGGTTTTGAGAGGATTCTTAAAAATGGTGAACGCAAGGTGGTCATGTTGCGGTATGTTGACCCAAGAGCTTCTAGGACTGGGTTGGCTAACTGCGTGAATAGAGTACTACCTTGGCCTTCTCAACGAGGATACAGCGCCGCGAATATTAAAATCTATCGAGGGCAGGTAATGTTTTTCCCTTGCTTAAAGTTAAGGGAAATAGACACCGAAGCCGATCAGATCTATTTGGATCCTGACTGTCTGGCTAAACCGAAAAAACCGCGTCAAAGGATAATGCGAATTTTGGTGAAACTTCGTAATCTTTTGTGCCGAGCCTAATAGTGACGGTAGTGCCATAAGAACATGATAGGTTCCTTGAGCAACATTAAGTATTTGCTTTTGGGAGATGGCAACGAACGTATGAACAAATTGCCCGTATGAAATGGCATGCGTCTCCTCTACGGCACCTCTGTCCAGAATGCTGTAGAGAATGACCTTACGTCTATCCAAGCTATGGTGCTACACATCATGATATACGGACAAAGCCGCCCGGACTCTTGTGCTGCTAAGGTTGACGTACATGTCGGAATCCGAAGTGGTTTACGCAAGTTGCGTTGTTTTGTATTAGTCGGCTCACTCACCTCAATTGCCAAATATAGGAGCGTTTTATAGATTCAGACGACGTAATGATTCCATTGGTTGAGCCAAATAGACAGAGGACAAGTAGATCGTAAATTTACCCGTCATTATTTGGCGTGCTGCGTATATTGCTGAATAGAGGTGTATAGATTGGGGGAAGCCCATCAGGTCCACAGAGGTCCGTCTAAGCGTAATATCTATTGGAAATCGGGGTATGTGCCAAATACACCCAATATCCATGGAAAAACACTTCACGATTATATAGAACCGGACAGGACCTCTACCAAGGTTAGGGAGGCGGTAACCTGTGGCGATGTCATTATTAGGGTCAACACCAGGATCAACCTTATCCATCCCAAACTAATGAAGGTGGATTACCCTAAGAACATCGATGACGAGTTCGATGCGGCAGACGAGAGTGAGGGAGGTCTGTCTCTGATGAATCCCACGTCAACTTCGGCCTTTATCTACCGCATTCGGTTTGCCGAGATCTGTCGCGAGGTAGTTGACACGATACCAGCTGTCTTCCTGGAGTCAACGCATCAAGTTGCCCAGACCCTGGACTACGAAGCCATCCTATCTCTCGACAGGAAATTGCAGCTCTTCATCCACAGTTTGCCATATTTCTTTCCGCTGGATCAGAGCAGTATCCAGCAACGCCAAGGCATCTGTCGACAGCGGCCGTATATCGCTTGGCAGCGAGTCATGCTGCATTTGAGTATCCATGGTTGTATTTGCCGACTACATCGACTGTTCCATCTAGAAGGTATTCGGAATCGAAAGTACGCCGACTCCCGTGAGATGTGTATTCGCTCTGCCGAAGCTGTTCTGGATCTGCAGCGTTCATTGGATAATGTCGGCGTTCTCGTGGGGTTGCAGCCCAAACGGCTCTGGATGGTTATGTAGTATGTGTACATTGCCACGATTACCCTCGCCCGGGATTTATCCCTAAAGCCACATGCTCCGGGAGCCGACAGTCGCAAGAATGAGGTGTTGGCTTCTTGCCAGATGTTAGAAAAGTCTAAACATGAATTGGCACCGCTGAGACAGGCAATCCAAAGAAACACGCAGACCTTGCTGGCTATCTTGCATAATAAACAATCCGTTTCAAAGTCGCAACAGGGGACCGAACTTGGTCCGATTCCTAATGACCCGAATTCTCGACCGAACGCTGCGATTCGAGAAGCCGCTGAACAGCGAGTTGATTCTCTCAGCGCAGGGCGTACGACACCCGTGCCACAGTGAACTTGCCACTTCATCACGGCCATTCTCTGAAGCCAGAAACAGAGGTATCCATTGACTCTTCCTGGTATTCTAAAGTACTAGTAAAGCCTCTTTCTTCCCCAAGTTTACTAAGCTCTTCGACTTGTCTCTTTCTGTCTTCAGTTAAGAACATTTTATCACGTGATGAAGAGGTCAAATGAAACTGAGTGCAATGATTGGACAATTCAAAATCACGTGTAAGGCTTGATAACCTAGCAAAGCCGTTTCGCTTTGGACAATAAATTCGATGACTGGAGGTTCAAGATGAATTGGATAGAAGTAGATATTAATAGTCAGGAGGTGAAAGAGCCCTGGAGTATTTATGTCTACGAAAAAAGCCCTCTTTAGCTCAGCTCACCCACTCACTTACTCTTCTTTATCTATTTACTTACTCTATTTACCCTGGCTTTGAGAAGCATCACCCAGCTTACCTGTATTTATCCTTTGGTTTAGTGTCAATCACCCACAAAGCGGCAAGGGCTGAAGGGCTTAGGTATTGTTTGACCGCGTTTATAAGGATGGCTTAAGTATGGCTGAGCGGACGGGAAGCCCTGTTCTCCACACCCTGTGGTCGTATGTATTTGTTCGTTCACCATCGTGCAATATATAGGTTGATGCTAGTTGGATGGTGCAGGCTTCTAGGTGACTGAGATACTTATAAGAGGAAATCTGGTGTAGCAGTGCGACTGGGTCGGAATCCTTTCTGTTATGACCAGGATAAGCAGCCGTTATCTTAGGCCCGCAACGGTGTATGCCTCGGAGTCTGATACGGCGAGTAGCAAATCGGCAGATATATATTCCTAAGTATACGGCACGTCTTTCACCCCTGTGAAGCTTCGGTTGGAGGCGCAAGTGGAATTTTTTATCTCAGCTCAGGCGCAATCCCAACAAGAGGTACTGTGAAATCTGGACCTCAACACTGGCAAGTACGCCATTGTTGTTATTGGCATGTTCGCTAAGGCAGCGGGGGTCGATGATCTGCTGGAGTCTGTTGATATGCTCAAGACGGGAAAGAGTCAGCACGAGCTTATCCCAAGAGACCTTCTACCGCACGATAGATGACCCTGTGGGTAGAGTTCCTTAGAGCAGAAAAGTGCCGTGCTATAATATCTTTCCTTGGGAGTGAGGGCATATTCACAGTCATAACTGGTGCCTTTCATCCATAGGAGTTTAGGTGCGTCCGCGGGACGGCGCTCTCTTTGGGCGAGACACCTTTTACCAGTACCGAACTCCTTCACGCGTTGCGCCTTTAGGTTGTACTAGCCTATCGTTTCCATGCAGTCTTCCGTCAGCGCCAGGTATATACTTCCCTTATTCCGGGGTAACCTCCCCTCTATATACGGTACCTGTCTATTTACTATCAATAGACTGTCCGGAGCATTAGTCTAATTCTAGGAAAGATAAACCTGAGAGCCCGGGAGAGCTAGGATGAGTGGTACTAGAGTCGAGAAAAGAATTGTTTTTATCTAGTTTAATCGATAAAAGCGGCGAAGCGTAGCAAATTAGATTGAATACTTCTAAGTCTTAGATATATATTAAGAATAATATACTACAGAGACTTCTATACCATTATATATCTTTTACTGCAATAGATATTTATCTCTATCAAAGTGTACCTATTAGCAAGATCCACGTCTCGTGGTAACTATAAGTATCACTTGGTATCATCATGGCACACTTTAATCTTTCGTTGAATATAACAAATCTAGTACGTTACCGTGCGGTCGACTTTACAGCCTTGATAATGTACCCTCGTCTAAGCCACATATTTACGTGCTGAATCGAACCACAGATATATAACCTTTAGGACCTTCGAGGCAATACCTATTCTGCATTCGAGATTCGGTAAAATCCCTTAGAGTCGTGTGACAACAACCTGCGCTAGTGTCAGAGATCCCCGAGCCAAGTCAAACCAAAGCCTCCTAATGCCAATGAGTGGAGAATATTCTTTCTGCAGTATGTTCTAGAATGAAGGTCGATCCAGATATACATATCATCCCCTCATCTGCACATTAGAGATCCGGACGAGGGCTCTTTGCGCTTCGAGAAGGTAAGGATATCTATATCTATCATGATCTACATGCAATATGTGTATAAAATAACTTCCCCCTTAGACCTGTTTGTGGATAATTCACATACAATAAATAGCGCGGGTTACAGCCTTTGGCCCTGGATTCGCCGTTAAGTCTTTACTAGATTGGTACAGCCTATCGGGGGACGAAGAAACGTAGGTCAATAGTTTTATGTATCCTATTTGAATCTGATATAATTGCCAGCTTTCATCTATAGGGCTCATCCCCATGTAGTATTTGTGGAATCAGCGTCTGCCCTAGATTTACACTCAGGCACACCACTCAGCCTTTTCGATCTCTTCTTTAGTTAAACACCATTTTCTTTGTAGCTTCTCGTCAAGAGCTAAAGCATATACATCTTTCGGCCACCACTCCCCCCAGCTCGTCAAAAAGATCTGCTCTGGATCAGACGGGAGATCGGTCGCAGCAAATGCGCGAAGAAGGTTCTGGGCCCCTGTGGAACAGTCCCTGTTATGTCGATTTTCTCCCAATTACGACGATGCGGATGAACTTACCCTCGGGAATGGTTTTTGCATCGGGCATATCCATCGACAAACCAAGGTCAGTGGCCAAATTCGTGCTAGGGATGAGGCCTGGTGAGACGGCAATGACCGTGCACGAGGGAAGTTCGCGGCGCCAGTTCAATGCGCCGAGTAGCTGTACGAACTTCGACGCACTGTACACGGTCCTGACCCCTGCGTTGGAATTTGCCTTAAGGTCTACGTCGAGTGTTGCTAATACAGCCTGGGTTAGTCAACGTAATAGGGGTGGTACTTAATGCAATGCGTAGGAAAAGTGAGTTTACCTGGATTCTGGTCTCTCACTCTGCGGATGGCACCCGAAGAAACAACGACAACTCGCGATTGCGACGTCGAGAGAGTCTCACGCAGTAAATGAATCAAATAATGTTGGGCTGTTTGATTTTATGGTTAGTCACCTCGGTTTGATACCCTTCGAGTTCACCTCCCACATACCCAAATGGTTGACAACGCACCCCGAGCACCATGGCGAGCCATTGGGTCCAGGGCCGTCGGCGCTGTCTAGCATGCCAGCACAAAGGAAGAGATAATCGAGCGTCTGAGACCCCAGCTGAGAAAGGACGTTTTGTGCAAATGATTGCACACTCGGCAGGGATAGAAGATCCAGCGGGAAAACGGTAATTGTGTGCTTGCTCTTGTCAAAGTCGAGGCTATTATACTTGGCTTGAGTCTTGGTTGTGTCCCGTACTCCCAAAACGAAATGGTATGGCTCCGACTGCTGGAGCAGCTGTTTGATGGCTTCAAAGCCCTGTGTTATGTTAACACGAATGGCTAGTGAGGGGTAGAACAGTGAACGATTACCAAGCCGGAGGATGTGCCTGTTGCAACCACTGTTTTGGCCATGGTTGCAATGAGAGTCCGTTAGATTCGTTGGTGCGCAGTGGGTGAGAGTGCGAGGGTGCGTCTTTATATCAACCTTTACGGTCCATTTTTCTTGGATATTGAATATTTAAATATTCAATTGAATTACCCCTCGCGAGGACCGATCATGTGACGTCATGGGACTCGTCAATTCTTTATTTCTTGAAGAGAACAACCGACTGCCTATCACTCGATAACGATTCCTTCCACGGTGAAATAAACGTGGAGGAATGCTTTAGACTTACATAGTGAGTCGTGAATGACAGAATAGGGGTATGGGGAGCTTGGAGACAATGGGCTCTTATATTCTTCCTTCTCTGCGGTAACTCGATTTCAATTACTATTGAGGCATGCATCTATCAACGTGGACAATGAAGGATAATACGGAATCTCCGATTTAAATCCTACTAGCACAATCCCTATCAGGATCTTCGTATACTTTGAAATGTAGGTTGATTGTATGGCTAAACCCAACGCCGATCCTTGCAGTGTAACTGGTAGATGAGGTGAAGCCGCTAAAAACGAAGGTTGCCCTCAATGGGCAACCCTTCAACTGGAAAGCTCAGCCGGCCGTCGAGGAACAGCCGATACCTCAAACACTGGTGTTGGCTTTGTAGTATCAATGCGTGGTAACACATGTCCATCATGCTGGGTGGACTGGCACCGCGCTTCTGCCTTCCTTTTCCCCCAGCAGTAGCCTAGCACGAGCGTGGCAACCGACAGAACAGCCATTGGAACCCCAATTCCCACTCCAATGGCGACCTTTGTAGACGTCGACTCGGGTATGTGGGTCACATTTTCTGATATATTTCCCATCGCGACAAGTGTGGGTTCGAGTGTGAAGGTATTCGTGGAACAGCACTTCTGGTCTGGACCACAGCAATATGTTCCGTCTGCACATTTTGAAACACGGGCTGTCCAATTTGAATTTCCTCCATGCTGTAGGCTTTCAGTATGCAAGGTAAACCATGACATGATATTTTAGCGGGTACCGGAGGCTTACTGCAGCATCACATATTGTGTTGTTTAAACAGTTCGAGCTATTCCAGTTCTGATCGGTACAGAACACCCTCCAGTGGGTATTAGGGAAAATGCTGGCAGGGCTGGCTAAGCATAACCCATTCGAAAGACATGTATCTGGTGTGGTGCTGTTTAGATTACAACACATTGATTCTACTCCCTCAATCTGAATGCATGGCTGGTATATTTGGTCGCTGATAATGGACCCATCAGGGGCAAAGCATTGCTTGGCAGCGAGAGCATGGACTGAGAACAGAAGGGCCAAGCAGGATAGGGCAAAATTTGTAAGCATGGCGCAGGTATGGTCGGTGCGACAAGAGCACGTCTAGCAATCTTCAAGCCTGAGAAAGGCCCCAGGGTTTGTCCGTCATTAAATATCTCACCTCAGAGGAAGTCAAGGCTCGGTCGGCCGTTGGTCCGTCATGGTTTGGTCGGCGCTTATCGACCTGGAGAGCCCATTCGCGAATTACGAATCGGTCCACCTGTAGATACTTAGTGGGAGTCTGATATACCCTTGTTAATTGCGCCCTGATCTCCAGGATTGCGGCCAATGGAAGACCACTACTTATCCCTGTACGCTTATATGCATAAGCGAGAGTTTCAACCCTGCAAGTCAGTTCACATACCCTCCATGGACAAGCTTCTTATGTCGCGGGGAGTAAAAGGCAGTGTTTCTGTTCATGCCTGACATGAACTTCACCATGTATACCAGGAATATATATAGTAGTTACCACTGTGTTAAAAAGTAACTACATGGTCTCCCGCGCTCCTGAAACCAACAAGGCGACTTATTACCCTTATATATATTACCAAAGTACGTCCATAACTACCACTGGTAGAGCCAGCTACACCTGATCAACCGAACTAGGGCAGTCATATTGTTCTGGCTCCTAGATATGCAATTACATTTTATGTACTTGGCACCACCCTATATAATTCCGATACTTCGGCTAAGCTAGTACATACGACCATAGGGTGTGGAGAACAGGGCTTCCCGTCCGCTCAGCCGTACTTAAGCCAAATGTGTAAGCTCGGCCAAAGGACAGTGGCGCCCTCTGGGGCTCGCTGCTTTACGAGTGAGCGACGCTAAGTTGTAGGGTGAGTGCGGGTGAGCTGGGTGATCCTGTTCAGAACATGGGTGAGCCGGGTGAGCTGGGTGAGCTAGATGATTTAGTGCAGGCTCAATCGCACATTGAGCTATCCTAGTGTCTCCATCATATGAAATAAATAGGGAGGGTATCTTTTGCGCTTCGTCAAAGATTTTATTCTCTCTTCCAATCTTTTCCTGACTTTGCCCTGGTGTTATCATCTACATCTGCCGATACCACGTGACAACATGTCGGATATATCTAAAGAAGAGCAACGACGACGAAAGGTAGAGGAGCTTCGCAAGCTCGGCGAGTTACGCGGCTTCACTGAAGAG